AGCTGTCCCCCACTTCACTGCCGAGGCTCAAAGATGCTGGCGGTCGCCGGCCGCTTCGCGCTCGCCGCTGCACTGGGCGCCCTGCTACTGCGGTCGTAGTAGAGATTCACGGCCTTGCCAACCTTGCAGGGTGGGGCCCCAGCGAAATCGCTAAGTTGATGCATTATATCTCCAATTTCAACTCGGGTTGATTGGGAGGATATGGAGGTTTCCTGAAATAGGGGTACCCCCAGTTATCATCCACTTTATTCTCGGATTTTCCATGAAATAAACCATCCAGCTGTTGGGGTACCCCCATGACTATGGAAACACCCATATACACCCCCTTATTTTACCGTGGAAGTCAGGATGGAAAAACCTGTCGGTTTACATGGAAGTCGTTTACGTCCCATTCCTGGGGAAAAAGTGAAACTGGGCTACCGGACCAGAAAATATAAAAAACTGACCGTAAATCACTTACATGGAAGTAGCTTGAAGGAGCATGTTCAACATGGAAGTTGGAAAACTGAGACTAAAAACGCTTACGTGGAAGTAACTTGAAGGTCCAAACATCAGGTTGGCAACTTCTATGTTAACATGTTCTCCCCTCATGTTGAATACATCCTTCTAGGGCGATCCCTAAAACCCCCAGACTGACCGCCACATCATTTGTTTTCTTCTTTGCATCTATCTTCTCACCCCCGTCATGCTGGTCACCCGTATCTCAAAAGCAATCACCAAAGGGTCCAAGTCTGGATTCAGCACCAAAAGTTCACAAATCGGGCTTTTTACATAAAGAGTTTAATAAAGAAAAAACATATGAAAAACCTGGTGTGGGATTCATGTCTTTTCCTTCTTTTTGGAAAATGAAATCCTCCTGAGAAGTATGGGGAACCCTAGTACCAAACCAAAGGTTTTACCATGAATAGCATGATTTTTTAACATGGCACTCCGTTCCATGTTTGGTGATTCATCTCTTGAACTGCTGGTCGCCCATATCTTAAAAGCAACCATCAAAGGGTCCAAGCCTGAATTCAACACCAAAAGTTCACAAATCGAGCATTTTATATAACGAGTTTAATAAAGAAAAAATCATATGAAAAACCTGGTTTGGGATTCATGTGTTTTCATTCTTTTTGGAAAATGAAATCCTCCTGAGAAGTATGGGGAACCCTAGTACCAAACCAAAGGTTTTACCATGAATAGCATTTTTTTTAACATGGCACTCCGTTCCATGTTTGGTGATTCAAAATTTCTACGTTAATCAACAAATGCCCAGGATTCCCGGGGAACTCGTGGCAAAAAGAACTAGCCAAAAAAAAGGGCCCAGATCCAAAGAACACAAATTTGCAGTTTACCCCCCCCCATTGCAACTAACATGGAAGTAAACCTCCGAATTGTCACTTTAGTTAACGTGGAATAAAAAAAAAACAGTACGGTAAATGGAGGGGGAGTAAAGGACCGAGCGCTCGCTAACATGGCACTGCCCACATCCTACTTCAAGTAGCAAATTTCTATGTAAGTTATGTGTTCCAATCGTTGGTTGTTAAAAAATGAAGGCAATCCCAGCTTTATCTTGAAATATCTTGAAAAAATCAAAATTTCTACGTTAATCAAAAAATGCCCAGGATTCCCGGGGAACTCGTGGCAAAAAGAACCAGCCAAAAAAAAAAAGGGCTCAGATCCAAAGAACACAAATTTGCAGTTTACCCCCCCCCCAATGCAACTAACATGGAAGTAAACCTCCGAATCGTCCATTTCGTTAACGTGGAAAATAAACAATTTTATTTATTTTTTTTGCGCTACGGTAAAAGGAGGGGGAGTAACCAGAGTTAAACCACCGAGGATCATCCCACTGATCCTGTTTATGGTTAGGAACTGGGGTTGTTGTTCAGCCATTTGTCAATGGGATAGCCCACTGAATGCGGACTTATACCATCACCGTTATTATTCGGTTCCTAAGTGGAATGATCCTCCAACCACTGCACCATTGGAGAGAAATCTGGGATCGATGGATCTGTAGAAATGAACAGCAGATATTGTCACTTTTTGGGCGTAACCCGCCCAATTATCATCCCTAATCAATCAGCCGATGTTTAACAAATGCGGGGCTGGCATTGATCCACAATCCCTATTCATACCCTGTTGGAACACAAGACGAACATGGAAATCCAAAGCGGAGTGCAGGTGATTCCTGGAGACACGGAGGTGTCCTCGGTACGCTTGTGTCATTTGTATTTTTTATGTCCGTTCATTTCCAGGGTCTGGTTCCGACTGATAGACCCAAAAACAAACATTTGTACTTCGAGAGTAAATCTGAACAATGGCTCAAACTGGATCCCAAGTAAGTAACCCACATGGTCAAAACTGCATTGTTCTTGGTTTAAAAAGTTGGAACCCGTTGTTTGTTGATTCAAGCCACAATAGTTTATTCCCATTGAAACAGCGTTCTGTGATTCCAAGTTCAAACCCATTTTCTGCCTGGATGATATCCCAAAATTCCCCGATTCCACATGAAAACCTCACATTCCAAAGTGTCTGCAAGTGTTTCTTGGTTGAATCCCCATTGTTGATGGGAAATTCTCAATGTCTTCCCGTTTATCAGTTGATCCCATTCCCCAAGATGAAAAAAAACACCCAAAAACCATGGTTTCGTATTGGATCTGTTCCGAGTGCCTTATCATATTGGAGTATTTTATAATAATCATTGATAAGTTAATGATAATGTTACCAATGATGTTCCCACTGCTGGGCCATGATTATGATTAACAATCATCCATTGGGAAGATTTAATGTTACCAGAATGGGACGTTTAAAAACCCTGACCAAATCCCCATTGTTGTTAATTGAATCTGACTAAATCCCCAATAGATTCCCATTTGACAGAACGCAACCTTGTGATACAGCCGGGGTGCAGTTGGGGATAGTTTTGTGGGTATAGCCGGGTATGGCTATATAAAACCATGGTTGATTTTTGTGTTCTGTATCCACTCCGTGTGTTCAGTGGAACGGATGGAACGGCACCCCAGTACTTCGAGGATCATCCCACAAATCGTGGAATCGTGGTTCCTTGTGATCGTAAGTCCCCAATTCAGTGGGATTCTCCCATTTACAACTGGGTGACCAGTTGTGTGGTTACTCACCAGTTACAAAGTTATAACTGGATATAACTGGATGATTTAGCGCATATTTTAACTACCCTCTGGTAATTTAACGTAGCTATTGAAAATGGCCATTAATAGTTGATTTTCCCATTAAAAATGGTGATTTTCCATAGCTATGTTAGTTTACCAGAGGGTACATGAAGTATGTGTAACCCGCATCCATGCGACGATCCTGCAGTACCGCCGGGTCACATCGTCCTTGCTTTCCTTCAGCAATTCTTTCAGTCGCTCCTCCGCACCTTCCAGACCCAGGATGTCACGCAGCGCCGTGAGCGGCGATGGATCGTCCATGGCCGACCAAACAGTCTGATTTTATTCGACCAATTACATGAATTCTTTGACCATAGGCAACCCGCAAGTTGCCTTGAAAAGGAAAAACAACACCAAAATAGTGCGGATAAGTTTTTGTTTGGTATCTGTGGGTTGCTGATGCCCATGGCCCTCTTACTTTTTATGTAAGAGTGGTGTTGCTCAACAACCAGTCTTATGGTAGCTTCAAGTTTCATGGTTTAGTGTACCATTAAAAGGTTATTGCCATTTTGGGGCCCTGCATATCATCATTGTCCATCTGTGTGGGCTAAATCCACCATGTTTGGTGAATAATTGCTGAATATCCCAGCATGTTTTCTCGATGTCCCTATTCATAGATGATTTTCCTGGCTGTGCAAATTAATTACAAGATTCTAGCTCTGGGATTCCCAGCATTTGGGTGATACGAACCTTGGGCGCCTAGTCCAAGCCCTGCAAAAAATCGCGGGGATCGATGTTCAAGTCGCCCCAGTCATGTTGATGAAGGTTTTGACCTGAAAAAAATCTTGGAAGTTGCTGTTGGAGCCGTTATGACCCAATCAGAGAAGGCTTCAGCGCAAAGTTGGAGGACTTCACAGCCATGATTTTACTCACCGGTTCCCGGCTACGCCACCCAAGAAAGCATGGATAACTCATAAGCTGACCGTAGTTCCGAGATAGCTTGCAGGCTTCCGGGCTGAAAAAACATCTATAACCCATGACGGATCCATGGTGCTGCTATATATGGTGTGCCATGGATACCATCAATATACCCCAGTCATGTTAAACCGTCACGGTGTACAGTCTCCCGGGATCTCAGGCATCAAGCACGAGCTTGGCCTTGGTGTTTCTTGGGACCTGACCCCATGTGGAAAATCTTAGGGGAAATATTGGGAAAATATATCGAACACTTTACCTTTTTTTTCGGCATGAGGATAACAACCGCTGTTCTTGAGGATAACAACCGCGTTTCGGTTTTTGGTGTGACACTTTGCCGAAATTTCTACCAGAAAGTCTGGGAATATGGGGACGATTATAGAGTAAAACATGCATAATGTATTCTTAACTTGGGCTTGATGAACGTGGGTACCCCTAGTAACAGGATGATGGTCATATAGACCACAAGTTGGTTGGGATGATGCGTTTTTTTTTACTATTGGATATAGAAACCAAGTATGTCTTTTCCGCCCGAGTTTGGCCAAACATGGATTTCACCCATGGAGATATTGACCTGTCAGACCTGTCGTAAAGGGAAAGCCGGCAATGCGATTCGATCCTTCGAGATGTCCAAGTAGACCATTGAGATATCAAATATATTCAATATCATCCATAATTAGACATATCAACCAAGGTATTTCTATTTTCTGCATTCTTAACCTAATGATTTCCCATGTTTGAAGGGATCAGGGGCCCCAATTGGATCCGTTGTTTTTCCTCTGCTGAGAGGTTAGTCATGGAATATATATATATATAACCATCCCCCTGGATAACCATTTATATAACCATGGATGTATATATATATATATATATATCCCCCTGGTTTCATGGTTATACATCTGATTTTCATGGTTACGCCATGTTACGCCTATGATTTTCCTCGACAAGTCCCAAAGAAACCCATGATTTCGAAACTCGCCAAGGGAAACGGCCGGTTTGTCGAGTCACATGGAAACCCGACACAAAGACGGAGAGTGAAGGCGAGGGCAGCACCTAGCACGCGATAGGCAGAGCCATCAGAATGTCTTGCGGTCAAACATAATGTTGGGAAAACAATGACATATTATACCACCTATAAAAATGGTGATGACCGGGGGATGGTTTAGTATTGTTTTACCCAACATTACTGGAAAAAGATGTGTTGTTTTTTTCACACAACCAGGTTATATCCACTATGTTCCCATCTCTTATCCAGCTTTATACTTAGAATAAGTGCTCCTGGAAAAGATGGATGGTCGAATCATGTCGAATCACTCTTCCGTACCCGAAATGGTAAACTAACATAACGAACTGGAAAGATCCACCATTTTTGATGAGAAAACTCACTATTTCAATGGCCATGGCTTCAATAGCAACACGTAACAAATTACCAGAGGGTAACATCCTTAGGATCAGGATCCATTAGCCCTTGGTTCCCATGATGCGAAAACAGCGATCCTCAGCCCTGGCAACACCTCAGGGTATGTCCTTTGCATCCGGAGACAAGCCGACCTCACCGGAGGAGCATCGCCAGTCATCATAGCTGGGTTCCATATATGTTGTGATACCCCAATAGCTGGGTGTTTTTTTTACATGGAAAATCCTATTAAAGTGATTTAAAGTGGATGATTAATGATGATTTAGGGATACCCTGATTAGGGCGGAAACCTCCATTTGCCCATTGGCTCTGAAAAAACATCTCTTTTCCTTCGCAATCAACCTGTGGGAAAAAGACGGGGAGAACAAAATAAGGCTTCAAGACCCACGTTGATGCAGGTTTTACTGTCCAAGAAAAAGCATGAGAAGGGTTTTGGAGTTTTTGGAAGAATCCACCCAAAGTGGTTTTCTTTTCAGCCACAGATCTGCAACCCCTTTGTCTTGTGATGGCCTGAAGCTGGCGTAGAAAACAACACCAGTTTCAGCCTGAACGTTCGCCACAGCAATACTAGATATAATTACATGCTACATCATAATCCCAAAAAAAGTAAATTACTACTAGATGTTAGAATCAGATTTTACGAAAATTCGATCTTTTTTTGAAGTTGCCATACATTCATATATATCCATATACATATGCATGTATAGAAATCAAAAAAAAGTAGAATCCTTTTCACAAACATGCGTAAACTACATGAAAAAATACACATCTTTTTGGTTGCGACCACCAGTTCTTCCCGTTCAACGCGAGCGACAACCGGCGCATCCATGGATGGACCCGCGGGGAGAGTAGAGCCACCATGACCTGGTCGTCTTCGTTGAAAGGGCGCGTCTGGGATATACCATGATAATTAGACCATTTTTAATATGGTAAACCATGGAAAATAGGTAAACCAGATATACCATGATATACCATGATATAGCATGATATAGCCATGATATACCATCTGGTTATGACTAACATAGCCATGGAAAATCACCATTTGTAAGTTCGGTAAAGCCAGGTAAACCATCTATTTCTATGGGCCATCTATACCATGGCTATGTTAAATAACCAGAGGGTATACATAAAATATTACAAAATCTGAGATATACCATGATATATGATATACCATAATTCTGATGGGGTATACCGGTATACCATAAAATATTACAAAATGGCGAATTTCACATGGCAAGCGATGATAAATCACTAATCAGACTAATCACCATAGCCTCTGGTAATTGAACATATGGAAAATCACCATGTTTTTGTAGGTACAGCATCTATAAATGGGCCACGTTCCACTGCTATGCTAAATTACCAGACGGCAGAAAAAATATCATGTCGAGAAATAGGGATAGGAACCCAACATGATTGAATTTATATCCTAGAGGTATCAACACACACATACATACATATATATATATGATATATATATATATATATATATATAATACATATATATATATATATATGTATTATATATATATATATGTATTATATATACATATGTATTATATATATATACATATTCACGGGTTGGTGGTTTCTGGCCACCAGGACACCCTGGATAATTTTGTGAAAATAGGCAGACGGGACAGACGAGTATCCGATCAGTGTTAGGACTTGAAGCACAACTGGAATATATTGGGATTTGATATTAAACCATAGATATATATATATATATTGGATATATTAGAATATATTGGAACTAAATATGAATATTCACATATATGCATACACGTTTGTTCATTCTCTTCAAACCCAACCATTTCCAGCCGCTTTTCCCAACTTGAGACATCCCCATGACACGTAAAAACGTCCCGGCAATCTCGGCGCTCCGCGCTTGGCACGTGACTTGAAAGGCCGTTTCCAAGGTTTCAAAGGGCCGCTTGAAGCGGCGCTGAGGCCTCGTTCTCCTATGGAAAATCACCATCTTTAGTAGGTAAATCATCTATTTCTATGGGCCATTTTCAATAGCTATGTTAAATTACCAGAGGGTAAATCAGTAGTTTCTATTGATCTAAGGTCTTCCCCAAAGATCATGATCCAAACATGGATCCAGCTTTGGGAGCAGTGCCAAGTGGTTAAAAAAACCACACAGCTTGATGCTCAAATCAGCCCCCGACTTTTGGTCTCTGCGAACGGCCTGCCAAGGATGAGGACAGTGGATGCCCCGCTCGGCGTACAAAGCCAATCCGACGTCCGAAAGTGGTGGATGAAGTCACCAGATATGGCCAAAAATATATATATGGGAAATGAGGTTTTAAAGCACCAGAAGGGGTGTTCCCTACGTGTTCAAACAAACCTTTGCAACTGGGGACAGCCTCCAGGTCGCATGAAAGACGGTGCTGGCGAAGTAGCCTCACGATTCTGCTGATGGGGGAAGTCCCCCAAGATTGGGTGGAAAAAATCCTTGGTAAATGCTGAAAATGTTTGTTGGTTCAGAAAACCATAGTGAATATCACCAGCTAAAACTCAGTCATTTAACCATAGTGAAACTAAGTCATTTAACCATAGTGAAACTAAGTCATCACTACTTCGATATATGTCAAGCTAAGTCATTTAACCATAGTGAATATCGCTAATTAACTGACATGTCAATTAACTAACCAGCCTATATGGTCAATATAACTTACTTAACATGTCAATTAATGTCAATACCAGAAACTTGAGTGACATCTACACCGAAAAAAAACTCCTTCCCCCGCCTTTGTGCTTCCTCCCCCCACGCATCATCCGCGTCCACCGAGATATTCTCAGGCGTGTGGAATCCGCTCTCGTCCTGGATACCAACTCATAGGGATACCTTCCAAGCATTCACAATAGCAATAGTAAATGTGGAAAAAATGGCGACACTAATGAATGATTGGTATTGTTAATGTTTATGGGTAATAATGGGATACTAACGGATACTAACAATACTAAGTAACTAATGACAATGTAATGTGGTTAAAACAATGTCATGCTCCATCCCCCAGTCATCACCATTTTTATAGGTGGTATGGTTACCATTCCCAGTCACGGATGGTTTATTTTTGTGTCAACAACATTAATGATAATGTAATGATAATGTAATGATAATGTAATGATAATGTCATGATAATGTAATGATAATGTAATGACAATGTAATGATAATGTCATGATAATGTCATGATAATGTCATGATAATGTAATGATAATGTAATGATAATGTAATGATAATGTCATGATAATGTCGTGATAATGTAATGATAATGTAATGATAATGTAATCATCATCAATAACCAATAAATGATCATCAATAATCATTGATAATAGAATGATCATCAATAATCACTAACACCTGATAATTATCGATAGTTTCAAGTTAAATTCAGGATCATCAAAATTCATTGGTAATGTAATCACCAACTATAGATGATTTTCTCAGCTATGGACCTCCATTTATAGGGAATTGTCCATTGCCATGTTTGATTACCGGAGGGTAGATCTTCCCTCTCGCATGAAAGATCATGTCGAAAAACTACGATTCCTGTTTCTGCTTATTGTTATTGCAAAATTTCTAAATCTATCGATCTTCTTAAAATCGTGTTCTTTTCTGCAGACGCCCCTGCATTTGTCGCAAAGATGCATATTAGCATATCTATATATATAGTACATCATCGAGCAAGTTTATACTCGGATTATTTAACATAGCTATGGAAAATGGCCCATAGAAAGAAATGATTTATAATGATTTACCTATTCAACATGGTGATGTTCTATAGCTAACTGTTCAATAACCAGAGGTATGTCCGCCATGCTGTGCTCAAAAGGCATATGAAGCTGAGAAATGCAGGAGTAATTCCACCTTATGTCCAGGTGGTGCCCCAGTTTCGTTTGCCAAGGTCACTCGGATTTATGCATGTTTATGATACTCCACGAATAAACTTCCTCTCTGAAAATAGTGTAATTATCCCATACCATCCACTGGTTAATCGTATAATCAAAACAAATATGTAGTTGTACTGCAATCTCTATATATATATATATGGTTATAATATGTATATATATATGTATTATATATATGTATTATATATATGTATTATATGTATATATATATGTGTGTTTAATTAAATGACAGAAAAGACGTGGTGGTTATATCCCATAATCCCATCATAAAGTCCGATACGCACTGCTTCTGTGCGAGTTCCTGGAAAATCCAGGTTAGGTACATGTTTTTTGTATTTTTTTGTCCCTTCCCAGATCATTTCTGGTATGTTCTAACAAAAATCTGTCACTAACAACACTTGCTTAGGACATCTCAGAAATCTGTACCTCGCCCCCACTGGTGATTTGGAGGTCACACCTCAAAGTCGGCGATTGGAACTGCCATGGCGCAGCACTGGCCCAAAAGAACTGGTCGCTGGGAAAGCAGTTGCACCCTTTCAAAAAGGTACGCGGGACCGCAACAAAAGATCAAGTAAGGACTGTATACTGTAATACTATATAGTACTGTTATCTTGTTTGATTAGTATATAGTAATGGAGCAATAGCAACATTGCTATATATATATATTATATACTGTAATACTACGGTATTGCCATGATTACCTATTGTTGCTATTGCTACATTACTTTCAAAGGTCCACAACCTGAAAAACTGGAGGACTGTGACGGCCCTGGGCCTGTTCCTGGAGCCAAAATCATGGCAGAATGGATGAAAATGCAAAGCCAAAAAAAATCGTGCCGCTTATCTACAACATATATACATACATATGTATACAATATACAATATACAATATACAATATACATGTATCATAGTAAATATATATATATATACATAACTATCTACAAATTTATCTATATTAATTATGTCTACACATAATACATCTACAACTTATATAAAAATACATAATACTTTTGTTGTTTACATATGTGTTTATGTCATACATCATCATTATTTGAGACTTGCAACAGACTGTGACTGAAGCACGGAGATTTGAAACCAACAGAGGGAGATTGCTTTTCAAACTAACGGGAACATTACCGCAACAACAACATAGCGTTGAAGTGGAGATACAAAGCTTGAACATTATCTATAATATATATATAATTATATATATATAGATAGTAACATCGTTAACATGATATTGACATATATTGACTGAGTACGTCAAGAAACTGGATGGCTAAATGCCAACGATTCTGAAGCACAGCAAACAACGTTTGCCACCTCGAGCCTGCTTGGGTATCCAAATCAATTGGCAATATAGTAAGTTACTCGAAAAATTGGGAAAACTATGCTTCGAAATTGGCATGTGTATTTTTTGGGGGGGTCAATATAGAACATGAAGGAACATGATCCCTATTTCAGACAAACCCAAAAAGCTGAGTCATGCCACACGGGCACCCTCAGTGTCCAGCATAGGCACGATGCACGATTTTTTTGCGCAGTCACCCGAATGGCGTGCGGCTTAAATCAATTGGAACATGTACCCGTAGTGGGCGCATGTTGTGAAACATTGAGCTGGTTGATGGTTTCAACCCCTCTGAAAAATATGAAAGTCAGTTGGGATGATTCTTCCCAATATATGGAAAAATAAAATTCATGTTCCAACCCACCAACCAGTTGAGCCTTGGGAAGTGGGAACTGCTTTTTGCCAATGCCAAATGCCAATTTGATCGTAGATTCTGAGGCTGACCCCATGTGTGGTATATAGATTCAAGGGTAAAGATGGATTTTGCATATACATTTATGCATACATATAGTATATACTTATCATATTTAAGGACAGATTGATTTTTTGCAAATCATCAGAAGTACAGTATCGAAGTAACATCCAAACATAAACCTTCTGCCCCCAAGGAATGTACCCTCTGGTAATTTAACATAGCTATTGAAAATGGTCCTTTATAGTGGATTTTCCCATGAAAAATTGTGATTTTCCATAGTTATGTTAGTTTACCAGAGGGTAATAATCTTGATAAACGGCAGAGTTTTCCATTTGACAAAACCTACGATTTTGATCCCGACCATCACCGCCCACGATTACTGAGTTGATGATTTTGGACCAACAAGAGACTGCGATCCCTGAAAATCTTGAACTGACACCTCAAATGCCATTCAAAAGCCACAGAAATCACAAAATCACCTGAAACATGATGTAGAAATCTGTAGAAATCTGTGGTAATCTGTAGAAATCGGTAGAAATCTGTAGAAATCCTGGGACTTCTCCGTTTTTTCCCACTTTTTGTGGTGCTCAGGTCTTCCGCCGCCGCTTGCCGTAGAAGCGTGAAAGGGCTGCACCAACACCTCGCTCGTGACGCTTTTCAGTGTCAGTGTTGGTTGCCCCCTAGATGGCTACTGATTTCACGGGGAAAATGATGATGCTCTAATATCATGTTTGGGGAATTGTTATATTATGGCAGTATTATGGAATTTTTGTGGACTTATTTTGGGGAAATTATAATAACTTTTCGTAACTATTGATGATGATACAACTCATATGAATCTGGGGAATATACAATAACTAATAATGATATAAGGAACATCATCTAAGAATTATCTGGGAAAATTATACGAACTATTGATTTTTGATAAATATGAATCTGGAGAAATCATTGTCCAAGTCCAAAACCACACCGTTCGGCCTGAAAGGCCATTGGGGGGGTTGATTTTTCCCCGTTATCCCAACCATCATCGATGGGGCCGCTTCTTTATACACCCAGATTGATTGTCATTTTTTTACGGTACCCCATTTTCAGGCAAAGCCAAGCCTCAAACACTCCTGCGGATATTGACCAGAAATAAATTGGGACCTGATATGGGGATATCATGGCGATATGATAGGGCCATGGTGACACCATAGGGATACCATGATGACAATGGGAACGGTGGAAAGTCTACGAGGAGTTTCTACCATCGACAAGTTCTTCTTCCCCCATTTCTTGGATGAACTTCTGGGTGAACTTCCATGTGCTTTTCAGTACCGCTATCCAAAGGGTCTTTGAACAGTGGGTAGTAACAAAAAACTATCTCTGTGCACAATAAAATGCAGTATGAGGTGCGCATCTCAAGATTTATCAGATAATACGTGAATGTATACAAACATTGCATTGCATTATATTCTGGTGAATTGTGTTGCATTTGGTTTCTTTGCTCTGCGGCATATACATTTCACAACCTAGTGACCTAGTATATCATGCCAACGTGGTTGTGAAATTGATACCTGCAAACGCCATGACGTTCGGCTGTGCTCATCACCAATCTGCTCAGGAGGTTTATGGGACATGTGCAAGGTGCTTCCCGTCTGTTGGTTTGATTAAAAGCTTCATGTCAAGCCTCAAGAAAACGGCGAAAAGATGCGAAAGTCATAAAAGTGGACACTGTTTGCTGATTGTTTGAGGTGCAACAGAGTTTTTCTGGTTGGTGGTATACTAACCCTTCTGAAAAATCATGGAGTTCGTCAGTGATGATGACATTCCCAATAGATGGAAAGTCATAATCCATTCATGTTCCAGTCACCACCAACCAGTTTTAGGTCGTCAAGTTCCTAGTCGAAACCGTACCAACTCAGCAGCCACAACCCCAGGATCTAAGGCTCTCGCCCGGAGGTGCTGGTTGCCGCTCGAGACGAGTGCCCTGGGCTTCGAGACCAAGCCATGGCTTGCTGGTTTTGCACAACAGGAAAGGGATTTGAAATGACTTCAAAAACACAAAATAGTCCTGGTTGGTGGTTTTAACCCTGAAAAATATGAAAGTCAGATTGGATCATCATCCCAACTATTGGGGAAAATAAAAAATGTTTGAAACCACTAACCAGTGGGTTGTTAGATGAACTCCATCTGCTATTGAACAACGAAAGAAAGGTTGGGTTCTTACTGCAACGAACCTCATATGCCAGCCATGTTCTGTACAAATCTTGGATTGTCTTGGTTTGACCCCAGTTGAATGAGGATAGGCAGTTTTGGCGATTGCAGAGACCCATTCTTGATTTTGCTTGGGACTTTAAAAACCGCCAGAATTCTGCAACCATGGATGCGTCCTCTGTGGGCCTTGGCATTTGTCGTTCAAAGGTTCGTATCATCCACATCTTTTCTCACAGCCTTATATTCACTCTTGGTTGCATCTATCTTGAAATCCCCGACATGTGAGTGTTTCCTCAAATGACATTTGGATTCATTGGGGGAAAAGGCATCCAACCGATGGCTTCCCATTTTCATTGCTGGCTGCACCTCTCCGGCAGCTTCGCCTCAAAGGTCGGCAAACATTGCGTTTCGGAAAATCACCATGTTGAAAAAAACGGTCAATCAGCGATTTCTTTTTTGGCCATATAAAAATAGTTATGTTAAGGCCCATTGGAGGCTATGTTCTTTGACTTTCGCGATGAGGCGATGAAGATTCCATATAATTCCTAGTGATTTGATGAACCACAGAGCAGCCAGGCCATGCCAGGCCATTCTCAGCTATCCCATGGGGCACCCAGTTTTACCATTGGTCAGTCATCCCCAGAAAGATAGCTATGTTTTGGGTATACCCCCATTTTTTTAAACGGATAACAACATACTTCGGGTGCTATTCAGCAAGGTTCACCCAACCACCAACCCACCAATTCTGGGGTCCAACCAGCTGCATCTTCGTCTTCATCGTCATCATCTTCGTCGTCATCGTCGTCGCCATCATCTTCACCACCGCCCTGGATCGTCACCAGATGGGGACGAACCGTAAGTGGGGTATGGACTTCCAAATGGCTGATTGGTCCTTTTTTTTTTGCTAAAACAGTCTCTGCTTGGGGAATTGCAATGTTGAGATGCCCAAAATGGTTCTGTAACCTATGTATGTAAATATGGTTGTTTAGATGATTTTAGATGTATATACTGTAAATATATACTTCGGACAAGCAACAAAAAACGCTTGTCAAATTTGGATGATCCCCTGAATATCTAGACGTTTACCCAAATTGCATAGTTGTTAGTTGTTCAGTTTCTGGACAAATCCAGATATCATGTCGATGCCTATATATATACATATATATATTATACTATATATACATATATTTATATACTATGTATATACTATGTGTATATTATATATATATGTATAATATATATGTATACCAGTAGTACCGCACAAGGCGGTGGCGGAAGTTTCAAAAATAGGAAACCTATAGGAGAGATTGGCTGCTGTGAATCAGGGATGGCAGAGCGAATCCACTGATGGACCGGAAGGTGCTTGAGGTCTCCTCTCTTTCTCTCTCTTTCTCTGACTATCTACTTACCTACCAGCCTATCTTCTATGTATCTATCTATCTATCGATCTATCTATCTCTCTCTTTCTCTCTTTCATCTCATTACCTATCTACCTATCTACCTATCTACCTATCTACCTATCTACCTATCTACCTATCTACCTATGTACCTATCTACCTATCTATCTATCTATCTATCTCTCTCTCTCGCTTCATCTGTCTATCTGTCTAGCTGTCTACCTGTCTGTCTATCTATCTGTCTATCTGTCTACCTGTCTATCTGTGGTGCAGTGTCATTCAGTGTAATGTAGTGTAGTGTAATGTAGTGTAGTGTAGTGGAGTGTAGTGGAATGTGTGTAGTGTAGTGTAATGAGAGTAGTGTAGTGTAATTTCGTGTAGTGGAGTGTAGTGGAGTGTAGTTGTGTAGTCGTAGTTGTAGTTGTAGTTGTAGTGTAGTGGAGTGTAGTGTAATGTAGTGAAGTGTAGTGGAAGGTAATGCAGTGTAGTGTAATGTAGTGTAGTGGAGTGTAGTGTAATGTAGTGTAGTGTAGTGTAATTTAGTGTAGTGGATTGTAGTGGAGTGTAGTTGTGTAGTTGTGTAGTTGTAGTTGTAGTGTTGTGTAATGTAGTGTAGTGTAGTGGAGCGTAGTGGAGTGGAGTGTAGTGTAGTGTAATGTAGTGTAGTGTAGTGAAGCGAAGCGACATCTGAACCTCCAAAAGTTGTCCGAACCCCTGGTATTTTTAACATTTTGACTTCAAAACGTGCTTCGCGCCACAACGGCGTGCACTTTTTCAACATCTGGACTTCCAAAAGTGGTCCGAACCCCTAGTGTCTTGTACATTTTGACTTCGAAATGTGCTTCCCGCCACAACGGCGTGCACTTTTTCGACATCTCAACTTCCAAAAGTGGTCCGAGACCGCCAGTTTTTAACACTTTTGACTTGGAAATGTGTTCGTGCCACAACGGCGTGCACTTTTTCGACATCTCAACTTCCAAAAGTGGTCCGGAGCTGAGGTGTTTTGTACATTTTGACTTGGAAATGTGCTTCGCGCCACAACGGCGTGCACTTTTTCGACATCGCAACTTCCAAAAGTCGTCCGACGCTGAGGTGTTTTGTACATTTTGACTTGGAAATGTGCTTCGCGCCACAACGGCGTGCGCTTTTTCGACATCTCAACTTCCAAAAGTGGTCCGGACCTGAGGTGTTTTGTACCTTTTGACTTGGAAATGTGCTTCGCGCCACAACGGCGTGCAATTTTTCATCGCTCCTGTGGCCAGCTGGCTCCGCACTTGCCGCTTTAGCGAGCCTACTTTTCGACCCTCCTGAGCCACAAATCATTGGAAAAACAGTGTTTCGCGACTTTCCTACCTTTTCGCGCATCTGTATCTTCTGTCCTCTTACTCTTTCTCTTCTACTCTTCTCTCTTCTAATCTTTCTCTTCTCTCTGCCTCTGCCCTACTCTGCTTTTCATCTGTCCATATTGTCGGAAGTTTGACTTCTAAACTTCCTTCGGCTAATTACATATATATATATATACATTCCATTCTATGCAACTACATCCCACTACATGCATGATATTTCCATTACATGCCCATAAGATCCCCGCGATATCACCAATAATATCCAGATTTTTGTTGGTTTATACTCGTATTCTCCATTTGTTGTATGTGGTTAATATGTTTTTTCTATACTGGATAAATTGTCCCCAGAGTATGAGTATCACTTAAATATATTTCCAGTATATCACCACTATACCCTCGCCCAAAATAATCTGGCTAAATTACATCCGGCTAAATCTGGCGATAATTCATTGACATTTTTGAATTCATCCCTTGGATTTTCCATGACGTCCCCATGAGTACCCTCTGGTAATGACTAACATAGCGAACTGGAAAATAACCATCTTTAAGTTCGGTAAATCAACTATTTCTATGGGCAATTGTCTATAGTTTTTTGTATGTTTTCCAGAGGGTATCCCATTAATGCCATAGGAATAATATCCACTAACATCCCACTACCATGGTTATTGAATCCTTCGTCAGTATCCTTCATCATGATATACTAGAATATCGACTCAACGGGTCACTCATGATTCATTCAGAATACTCCATTGCATTCCCATTAACATTATATCGTATCCCAGTAATGTTTGCCCTCTTGTAATTTAACGTAGCTATGTAAAATCACCCTTTGTTAAGAGGTAAATCATCATGCTTCTCATCTATTGCGATGTTCCATAGCTATGTTGGTCGTAACCAGAGGGTGTAGATCATAATTTTCCCATGAAATTTCCATTGTATCCCATTGTTGTATCACTATTCTTGAAATTTTGCTGGTCATTGGTTGTTAATGGAACACAAAATATTCTTAAAATAATATCATAGGATGGCAATTCCTATTTAGCTGGTATCATTAATAAATATTTAGATGCTAATTCCATGGTAATAGTTAGATGCTAATCCTAAAATTGATATAACATGAGTATCTCATTTGTATCCACCAGGATAATCAGTATCACAATTAATATCCCATTAGTACAACATCAGTATCCCTTTTGTATCCACCATTCATTTAAGTTAGAGTATGTTATGAGTATCACCATTAATGATCACCTTTATTCATCACCACTAAGTATCCACTAATAAAAAACGGATACTATCGACACTATACTTGGGATCCATCAACACTATTCCATTAGTATCCTCTAATGTTCATGGAATATTGGTATTAAGTTTGGATACCATACTATTGGATGCCATGCTATTCCATAGTATATAATGTTAATGGTATCCTCCAAGACCAATAATGTCAACCCTAGATAATTGGGAAGGTACCATTTAAGTATTAGATGACATGACTATTGGAGGAGTACCCCCCTAATTTTCATAAACCATGGTTTAGCAAAATCCGGGGTTGACATTGAGGGCCATAACTGAATCATCCAGAATTATCCATTAGTATCCATAAGTATCCCACTATCCCAGTAATTAATGTCCCATTACTATTGTTAAATGGACCATTGACATCCCATTTATAGTACTATCCCATACAATTCTAGCATCCCATTTAACGATGTATGTATATATATATATCTCATTGATAGTCCCGTTCATATCTGCAATAGTCCCTTTTTCGACCATACAGGTGTTACTACTGTTACTACAGGTGTATATAACGTATATAATGTTAATGGTATCCTCCAATACCATTAGCAATTATACGTAACCTAATATCATTATCCCCCAAGTTGTTCCCAAACTCTCCGGCGAATCGCCTGCGCCAGGCGATCCTTGGTCTTTTGCCTGAGACGAAGTGCCGTGCCCAGTCGTTTCTCAGTTTAAAACATGGAAAAAAACATGAATTTCACAAGCAGAAATAGTAATTTAATATAAGTTAATCCACATGCCAGATTGGAAATGGGGATTTAACTTTAAAAATGGTACAAAAACATGATAGGACATAGCTTAATTCGAGGTACCCACAATTCCACGGGATAGAGAAAATGATGCTCAACCATGAGTCGTTGAGTGCCGTATGTTCACTCAAAACATGTAAAGTCATGCAACGTCAGTGTATATGAAGCTACAAAGGCAGCCCAGTGTTGTCTGATATCTCCCTTTTGTCTCTGCCCTAAAAGGTTGTACCGACTACAAGTTGGCTCAAAGCCAGTGAACTGAGCCAAGGCACGAAGTGTTGATAACTCACACGTGATGAAGTACATGTTGCGTTTGAACACGTGCAGAATCCCATCCCCCATTCATATGAAACACCTCCATTCTATGGTCCTAAAGATGTGACTTCATGCCCTAGCTTGTTGCCATGTTGACTATGGCTACGGGGTGTGTACTATGAACGAGGGATGGCATTATTACGATTCATCATCCATTAATTATCCGTTATTCATCCACTATTCATGGGATGAGAACTATCATTGATCATTATACATTCTTTCTATTATTAATCATCATTAGTATCATCATTGGTATCAGCCCTATTATTACTAATGTCACTATTATTAAGCATTACTATCTACTTGGAAGCACCTCTGCAAAACAAAGAGCTTTGGGAAACACATCGCCGGTTGGCCCTGCATCCTGGAGGAAAATGTCTCGAAAGGCACAGGCACATTTCTCAAGTCACTTACCATCCAGTAATCAAACGTGGCTGACTGGAAAAATCAATGAAAATCCCCTAATTATAAATGAAGGTTTCAATGGGAAAATCATCTATGACTGATGACGTTTGAGTAACCCATTGTATGGTCAGAAAGAGATTGTTGTCTCCAAATTGGCAACAATTTCTTCATTTGGAGGTTTAAGACCACATTTTCCCCACTATGTGATTGCACGATTTTCTGGCTATACCCGCCATTTTGACGCAAACCTAGACCTTAGGTCTTCAGTTAGCCGGAGCTCCCCAAATAGTTACAGTATATATTCATGATTCCAATTACGAAACGTACCCCCAAACAATTCATGACCACATCTCCGTGCATCTCCATGGTTGCTCCTCCATACACGAACCCCATTTTTCAAGCTGGGGAAATGTTCAATGGTCGATTAATCCCCACTGAATTTGTCCATTTCCCTGTTACTACTGGTCAATTTTCCCCATGCCGAGGCTGCGGGTCACCTCTGTTCGGCCCCTTTCTTCAGCGCTTTCCGCTTCATGCGATTTCCCACCTGGAAAATTCCCTTATCGGAGGGGCTCAAAATGAAGAGATTCAATACGAAACCATGGCTTTGTCTGGGGAATTTTTCATATGTCATATTGGGAAAGGATCATGAAAATGATGATTTACCGTGGCTTTGGGGACCCAATTTGGAGAAATGCACACCGCTTCAAATAGAACAGCATCCGGCTTTGGAATTCACCCTGGTGGTTGGAAGTCTGTGGTGATCCCCTCACATGATCGCTAAAGGCTGCAGTTGATGACTCTGCTGATACACACCCGGCCAGGATCAGTGGCTATATCGCTGCTTCTACTTTAAAAATCCTCATCCCCACCAAATCGGGATTTGCCTATCCTTTTTTGCTAATTACAGTATTCACCCCTCTTATTTTATGCTTCAAAGAATGGATTCCCATGTTACTCGGCCAATGAGTCCATCCCCTCATTTCGTGAGTCCACTCATCCAATGATGTCCATCTCTCTGCACCTTGTTCTTTCCCCGCATCTTCTTAGTAGCCTTCTTAGCCTCCAAGCATCAGCGCCCAGTTATTTCATACCGGCAATCCTCTCACCTTGGGATGTTGATATCCACAGAAACGTGGCATGTCAGAATGGATCTTGAGTCGAGGCCTGCAAGTCGTGTCTTGTTAATGGCATCCCTAGCACCCTTGAATTGACAGCCTTTGGTTTTTTCAAATCATAGGTTCATCATCCATGAATTGTCCATTCATATCCACTGTTTCTTCATGAAATATCAATTTTTGTTGGTTATGGCCCCACCAATTACTCATTGAGCCAAGTAGCTGGGCCTTCTGGTCGATCAATTGTGATGATGACCCAGCGGCCCAGCGGGGTGTATCTGAAAACAAGGTATACACTAATGTATGGCCATGTTGGCAGGTAAAATAACATAAACTGAGTAAATGGAGGTGTGTATGGCATTGGGTTTACCTAATTGAAAAAATATGTATGAAATTGCCTCCTCCGCTTCCTTCTCCTCTTCCTCCTTGCCTTTCTGGTTGTAGGCCTCAGCAACGCAACGAAGTTCCGAAGCGGGGTCGCTGTCTAACAGTTTTCTGCCATAAAGGAGGACCTCCCAAATGTTTATATAGATATGGATATATATATATATATACATATATATATATCATGAGTGATAATATATTAATACGTTAGAACATATAACAATATGTGTTTATACACAGCAACATGACATACATAAATTCAATAGTTCATTTATGTTATATTATAATCATACTAATAGTATCGTTATATGATATAATGAAAATTAAAATAATATCAATAAGAATAAAAAGGATAATGATAGTAGAAATGATAAACGATGTGTATAAATTGTTGTAGCATCAGCCACTCCTCCTACCGACTCCCCGATGATTAAGAGTATATCTGAGTATATATGTATATATGTATATATGTATATATGTATATGTGTATATATGTATATGTGTATATATGTATATATGTATATATGTATATATGTATAAATGTATATATGTATATGTGTATATATGTATATATGTATATATGTGTAGATGTATGTATGTATATATTTATATATGTATAAATGTAAATATGTATATATGTATGTATGTGTGTTTAATATTTTCTGACAGTGAGGTAAGAAGGCGATGTCTTTTTGAATCCGGATCTAATGGGATATAACCCACTCGCAGGACATTTATAAGCTGTCAAACTGGAATCCATTGTTGGTGATATGTTCTGTGTTTCTGATGGTTCATATCATCAGATTTTATATGATGAATCCCCCATTTTTTGTTTTTTATACCTCTTATTCCTGTTGAAAATTCTGTGGTTAATCAACGTTATCAGATCAATTGTCAGGGTCATCCCAATAAGAATCCAGGCTCGTGCAATAGCCAATCAGTTAATTAGCAGGGCAATGTTACTGTAGCTATCTATGATTTATATTTCAAATTTCATTAGAAAAAACGAGTCAAGCAAAAACAATTGCCCACAAGGGCCTATCCTGTAACTTTTTGTTGGTTACATCAGAAGCTTAGTTAAAGTCCCTACCTGCCAGGCCGTATATGTCATATATGTCAGAATATTCTTGGATGTGCATCCCAATTGGTAAGTGGTGTATAAGCCATGTGTATATATATATATAAATGGGCCATTAGAACTGCCACCGGTTTTTCTCACACGAAATAACGTTTGTTGCTGGGAGATGCCTCGATCCGCACCTTGGCCACTTCTTGGTTGATCTCGCCGATGCGATCGGGATCCAACCTGGGATCGGATGCGATGGCCGGTAGATGTATGGCCTATAGGGCCTATATATATACATATATATATATGTATAATGTGTATATATATATATATAGATGTATAATGTGTATATATATATGTATAATGTGTATATATATATTGTATAATGTGTATCCGCCAACCCCTGCCTAGCCTTGGCCTAGGCGGCGCCTGGGATCACCGTAGGTGTGCGAAATCGGCTGTGGTTCCACCTGTGCCAGCTTTGGCCGCCAACTTCAGCTGCAGGCGCCCAAGTAGGGCCGCAATGGGTCCCGCAAAGCTGTTTCTATCGGCTTTCGAAACTGCTATGTGGCACGTTTTAGGCACCCTTTAAAAGCTTCAAAAGCTCCAAACCCGCTGCAGCTTTCGAAGGCTACGAAAACCAAGGCTGCGAGCTTTCGAAGGCAGCCCCGGCCGGAGTACCCTGCCAAGACACTGCAAACGAGCACGTTCTAGGAACCCCTTCAAAAGCTTAAAGTCATGCGGTGCAGCTTTCAAAGGCTTTTCTATATGGCACCATCATGGTACCTCCCTAGGCCCTGCAAACTGTTGCTATTGGGTTTCGAAACTGCTACCTGGCATGTTTCCAGCACCCTTTAAGAGCCTCACAAGCTTAAAACCCTCCGCTACAGCTGTCGAGCCCCTAGGCCCCGCAAACTGTTTCTATTGGGTTTCGAAACTGCTATGTGGCACGTTTTAGGCACCCTTTAAAAGCCTCAAAAGCTCAAAGCCCTCCGCTGCAGCTTTAAAAGGCTACGAAAACCAAGGCTGTGGCCCGCCTCTGCAAGCACCTCATGGCACGTCCTCTGCACCTTTCGAAGGCAGCCCCGGCCGAAGTATGCTGCCAAACACTGTTCAGCTGCAGTGGTGCCCAAGTAGGGCCGCAATATTTCCAATGATATTTCCCAGCCAATTTTTTTCTTAGGCTATCTGGGGATGATTCCTGCTACCAACAATCATCTATGGTGAGGTTGAATTCGGGCGGCTTTAGTTTGCATTGTACCCAGAATCCATTCCAAGTTCTTGTAAACCACGGATAAGATGATGATAAACCTCTGGATAGTGGGATCCCCATTTTCACGGAACTCAACCCCATTTGTGAGTGGACAAATTAAGTGATGTTGCATTTATTCAGAAAAGACTACGGTTCCTGAGTGACCTAAGGAAATGCAGTGCACACCATAGACCTACAATTTACAAAGGAAGGTCAAAGCCAGGCCACACCTAGCTTTCTGTCGCAGATTACCCTAAAATGGGGGTCGGCGGCACCAGGGCGGTAGCCCATTTATCTTATGCATATATTACGTCTATATTGTGTTTCTATTATGTTTCTGTATATATTATGTGTATTTTATGTATACATTATGTATATAATATATATAATCAAAGGAAGTTTAGGGGGAGAAACTTCCGTGTTACGGACTTTTAGAATGTCAGGGAAAGAGTTAGTCAAAGAAAGAGGTAGCAAAGAAAGAGTTCGTCAGGGAAAGAGTCAGTCAAAGAAAGAGTTAGTCAAAGAAGAGTTAGTCAAAGAAAGAGTTAGTCAGGGAAAGAGTTAGTCAAAGAAACAGTTAGTCAGGGAAAGAGTTAGTCAAAGAAAGAGTTAGTGAGGGAAAGAGTTAGTCACAGAAAGAGTTAGCAAAGAAAGAGTTCGTCAGGGAAAGAGTTAGTTAAAGAAAGAGTTCGTCAAAGAAACAGTTAGTCAGGGAAAGAGTTAGTCAAAGAAAGAGTTAGTGAGGGAAAGAGTTAGTCAAAGAAATAGTTAGTGAGGGAAAGAGTTAGTCAAAGAAAGAGTTAGTGAGGGAAAGAGTTAGTCAAAGAAGGAGTTAGTCAGGATATATGAGGTAGTCAAAGAAAGAGTTAGCAAAGAAAGAGTTAGTCAAAGAAAGAGCAAAGAAAGAGTTAGCAAAGAAAGAGTTCGTTAGGGAACGAGTTAGTCAAAGAAATTGTTCCCGCAATGTAAATGGGATTGCACGTGGTGCTGGTGGATGAGTTGCCGATGGAGTTTTGAAGGAGGTCTCGCACGAAATGCGTTTTTGAGAGATAGCAGATGCACGAAAGCCTATGTTTTTCCATACAAAGTCCGTCCCCGAACCTCGATGATCTACCTCTGCGGTGCGACGGTTGCGAGACGGTCTCGTGTGTGGTCGGATCATGCTCGGATCATGGTCGGATCATTCTCGGATCATTCTCGGATCGGTTCCGCATTGTAAATGGGGTGTCACCTGTGTTTCGTGCATTTCTGGTCGACAGAATTCCATTGTGATTTGCAACTGTAGGATCGTTCCCGCAATGTAGATGGGATTGCAAGTGGTGCTGGTGGATGAGTTGCTGATGGAATTCCATTGTGATTTGCAACTCTAGGATCGTTCCCTCACTGTAAATGGGATTGCAAGTGGTGCTGGGGGATGAGTTGCCGATGGAGTTTTGAAGGAAGTCTCGCACGAAATGCGTTTTTGAGAGATAGCAGCTGCACGAAACCATGTGTTTTTCCGGACAAAGTGCGTCCCCGAACCTCGATGATCTACCTCTGCGGTGCGACGGTTGCGAGACGGTCTCGTGTGTGGTCGGATCATGCTCGGATCATTCTCGGATCGGTTCCGCATTGTAAATGGGGTGTCACCCGTGTTTCGTGCATTTGTGGTCGACAGAATTCCATTGTGATTTGCAACTGTAGGATCGTTCCCGCAATGTAAATGGGATTGCAAGTGGTGCTGGTGGATGAGTTGCCGATGGAATTCCATTGTGATTTGCAACTCTAGGATCGTTCCCTCATGTAAATGGGATTGCAAGTGGTGCTGGTGGAGGAGTTGCCGATGGAGTTTTGGAGGAAGTCTCGCACGAAATGCGTTTTTGAGAGATAGCAGATGCACGAAACCCTATGTTTTTCCATACAAAGTCCGTCCCCGAACCTCGATGATCTACCTCTGCGGTGCGACGGGTGCGAGACGGTCTCGCGTGTGGTCGGATCATTCTCGGATCGGTCTCAGATCGGTTCCGCATTGTAAATGGCGTTTCACCTGTGTTTCGTGCATTTGCGGTCGACGGAATTCCATTGTGATTTGCAACTGTAGGATCGTTACCGCAATGTAAACGGGATTGCAAGTGGTGCTGGTAGATGAGTTGCCGATGGAATTCCATTGTGATTTGCAACTCTAGGATCGTTCCCTCACTGTAAATGGGATTGCAAGTGTTGCAGATTTTCTCCATTTTGGCGCTAGTGATTTTCCTTCTAAAAATCCTTTTAAAAAGTGCTTCAAAATCGTCTTTTTTTCGCTCTGGCGTCGAGATCCGGTTTTGGAGCTACAATTTCCGACGCCGTTGTGCGTAGTTCTATTGTGTTTTGCAACTCAGTCTCTGCAGATCGCATTGTAATGGCTGCGTCAAGGTTACTTCGTGCTGTGGCTGCATTTGTAATACTACCCAATAGATGAGATACCCTTATTTTCTAACTATTCTCCTTGTTTTCACAAAATAGGCTATATACAGAAAATAGTCTACAAAAAAAATAACTATTTAGTTAAATCTATGATTGAGAAATCGGTCTATTTTTACAAAATCGGCAGATTTTTCCCGGGACAGGGGGGTCGTAGTTTGGTAGAAAGTCGGTCGGACTTTCGCCCCTTGTTTGCAGGCGTGGGTCGGAGTTTGGTGAAGGTTTGAAGATTGATTTTTGCAACCCCTCCGGCATTTCCACGCATTGGCGTCGTACTTTGGTCAGACTTTGGTCGGAGTTTGGCACCAAATAGAAATTATCTATTTCCTAGGAAATAGACTAGTTCCTAGGAAATAGGCTTAAAAAAATCTAACTATTAGTTAAATGTGTTTTTCAAAAATCTATCTATTTTTCAACCCCCCCAAATCTACGAATTCTATCTAAATAGACTACTTCTTGTGAAATAGGTTATAGTCAGAAAATAAACTATTTCAATCTATTGGGTATTGTCTTTTGCAGCTGGATCTCGTAAATCGTATTGGAGTGGCTGCATGAAGGCTGCCACAGTGATTTGTCAGCAGATTTTCTCCATTTTGGCGCTAGTGATTTTCCTTCTAAAAATCCTTTTAAAAAGTGCTTCAAAATCGTCTTTTTTTCGCTCTGGCGTCGAGATCCGGTTTTGGAGCTACAATTTCCGACGCCGTTGCGCGTAGTTCTATTGTGTTTTGCAACTCAGTCTCCGCAGATCGCATTGTAATGGCTGTGTCAAGGTTGCTTCATGCTTTGGCTGCATGCGTAATACGATTGTCTTTTGCAGCTGGACTTCGTAAATCGTATTGGAGTGGCTGCATGAAGGCTGCGACAGTGATTTGTCAGCAGATTTTCTCCATTTTGGCGCTAGTGATTTTCCTTCTAAAAATCCTTTTAAAAAGTGCTTCAAAATCGTCTTTTGTCGCTCTGGCGTCGAGATCCATCCGGTTTTGGAGCTTCAATTTCCGACGCCGTTGCGCGTAGTTCTATTGTGTTTTGCAACTCAGTCTCTGCAGATCGCATTGTAATGGCTGCGTCAAGGTTGCTTCGTGCTGTGGCTGCATTCGTAATACTATAGTCTTTTGCAGCTGGATCTCGTAAATCGTATTGGAGTGGCTGCATGAAGGCTGCGACAGTGATTTGTCCGCAGATTTTCTCCATTTTGTCGCATTAGTGTTTTTTTGTTCCACGTAAGTTTAGAGCAGTGTGAAGTGTGGGGCGTAAAGAGTGCAGTGTGAGGTTTGGAGTGTGAAGGAAGCAGTGAGAAGTGAGAAGTGTGAAGTGCGGACTGTGAAGTGTGAAGTGTGGAGTGTGAAGTGTGAAGTGTGGAGTGTGAAGTTTGAAGTTTGGAGTGCGAAGAGTGCAGTGGGAAGTGTGGAGTGTGGAGTGTGAAGACTTTGCTTCGTCTCTCGCTGAAAAAAAAACCGCTTGTCGAGGGAAGGACACGGTCGGGACAGGTTGTCTTTGAACTATAGGTCATTTATGTTTGGGAAACTTCCGCTGCCGGCTTGCCCGGGTCTATGTTATTAAATTTTGTATATACACACATGTAGATGTATGGGGTTATCCTGGAGTAGGTTGAATATCCTTCCTTGTTCGAGTTTGTGGCTTTTCGATGACAGAGCTGACCACGCGCCCCAGAATCCTCCACTATTTTCATTGTTGTTGCTGTATGGGGCAGCCCGGGCAGCCCCATCTTGCAAAGGCTCCACTAACTTACAAGATTTTGGGCTCCGCGACTGAACGCCGAAATATTTCCAAATAAAAGTAAGGATTTGAGGATCTTCGTTGCTGATATCCACTTTCTTGTTGCTTCTCTCAATCCTTCCAGTTGTTGGTCATCTCCCCATGAAGCCCATTCCATCCTAATCGTTGGTACATGGGTATCCCAATTGTGGTTCAAAAAAGTTCGAGTATAAGAATCCATTATTGGGACCCATGAGTGAACAAACAACAATGATTGACACTGACCATGAAATAAATTTTCACCTTAAAGCTGTCGTGACCCCCTAGAAAAATCCCCTTAGTAAAACCACGTCAACCAAACAACGAACGTATTTTGTTCATGGCTCCAGTCCTGGGGGGTAAAAGGATCACTTCAGAACACCATGAAAACCATCACTTTAGACACAGCCATTTTTCATCACTTCAGAACACCATGTCAGCCATCACTTCAGAACACCCAAAAACAGAGCGCCATGGCTACTGACAGGCGCAACACTTTGGGACGTTACGCGTTCACAGCGGTGTGTGTACCAAAACAAGGCACCATTTAGGGATCGTTTCCTTACATAATGCTTTCAACTATAATGGCTCTTACTAGTCTTGCCTTGGGAGTCCTTATGCTCAACTAGCATTTAGGGTTTATTTGGGGGGAGCAGGGGGTGTGATGTTGATGAAGTTGATGTTGATGACGGTGAAAAAGTTGCTGGGGGTGATGTTGATGATGCACGTGATGTAGATGAAGAGTAAACTGATGATGTACAGGATGTCCGTGGTGTAGGTATGATATGGATGATGTAGATGATGAAAAGGATACAGAAGAGATGTACGAGATGCATTGCTGTATATATAGATGAAGTTGATGTAGATCATCTAGCTGGCTGAGGATCATCTTCCGCATTCTAAAGCAGTGGTTTTCTGTGGCTCCCAACATGATGGAATCGGGCTGCAGTTTGTCCAGCAACGACTGCACCTGTCAACCATCAGGCTAGGGAAATCAGAACGCCAACACCAACCCCCAAAGAGGTGGAACAGTACAATCCTATTAAAGTAAATAGTAAATAGTGATAAATTTCATAAATGTCTTTTTCTGCACTAACTTTTTGGTATTTACTATACCTTGAAAACCCGAGCTTGAAGATGATTGCAGTAGCACATATCGCATGCCTTTGGGCTGCCAGTCGACGGAGAGTGGACCCTCAAAATCGGAGACTCACGAGCTGCCTCTGGCCTGATATCAATTAGGTACCCTCTGGTAATCCAAACTCTAGTCTGACCTGGCAACACGAATCGCGAATCCCCCATTTATAAATATATATATATATAGTGTTTTATTTATTTAGATATATATATATAAATATATATATATTTATATAGTGTGTATATTTGTTGAACAGAAAGTGTCACCGAAGCACACAAGTGCCACACTTTTGTCTCTGGCGGATGAACGTTGCCTTGCCTTTACAGGCAGGCCCAAGGGCCCTAATATTTGGGATTGAAAATGCCACGGAACATGACCCACGTCATTGCTATGTTACACTTCTCGATTTGTGCAAGTGACCAATGGGTGCTGCTGGACTGAAGTCACATGGCAATTCAATACGCCCTCCATGGGGCACGAGTGTGCTGTACATACACAGCTTTTTCACTTCAATTGGCGAGTGAGAAGGTGGCGTCATTCGCCGGAGCTTGCGATTCCCAGCAAATGGCTTCGAGATACATGACAAATCAACGGCCAGTGTGATCTTGCCCTTAGGCTTTCCACAGTTCTATTCGTGCCATGGGTCTTGACAAGCCACGACAAATAGCGACGCATGTCACCACTGGTCTTGGAGGCTTCAACCATCTCGATATAGCACAAATTCTGATCTTTCACTTTTTCCATGACGCAGACAACACAGCCCCATTTGGTAATGGGCATCTTTTCTGGCAAGGAAACCCTTGGATTGATCTGTTGAAAGGCTCGGACATGCACCTTGCCACTCATTGGCTCGGCACTTCCACCAGGATACGGCCTTGAAGGTGGTGCGACAATACTTTCGTGACAGTCGCACTTGGTGTTGCTTCTCCCGGGCTTCGCGCAAAGTGCGCCGGCCCTGCTGTACCAATGCGAGTGCTTGGTCAATTTCATTCTTGAGGTTCTCGATGGTGACCATGGCCTAGGAACCATCATAGGCATCATCATCATCATCGTCATCATCATCATCACCATCATCATCATCACCATCATCATCATCACCATCATCATCATCATCAACAACATCATCATCATCTTCGGCCCAGAGAGCATTTGAGCGTGAAACTTGGTCGCGCTTCCGGATGTCCTCATTTGACCATTGCACTCGTTCTTGAGCAACCCGTTCGAAGGAAAATTTTCCCTTCAGAGCCGCCAGCACCATATTGCGCTCTCTACAAAGGTATCGCTTATGGCAAGCGATACTCTGCTCCCACATTGTGGCCATCTCCTTGTGCTCCTGGAACAGCGAGGAGTCCCCATCCCATATAGGAACCCCATCCTTTGACCTTCTTCGTGTCCATCCTCCACGCTTTGCCCTGAGCGGCCCTTGCAGCTCAGGCCTTTCCCTGGATCTATCCGCCCCGAAAGGCTCCGCTACCGTGGAAATGGCAAGGATGGCCCTAGTCTAAGGCAACCTAAGGGGGCGACCTTCTACAAATGGAGGGGCACAGCACCTCAAAACAGGCAAATGGTCACAGACCCCTTTTTGTTCAGCCGAAACTTGAACGGAGGATGCGAGTGATGGCATCTGAGTACTGCGAAGCTTGCACTATGTATATATATATATATGTAAAAACAGTTTTACACACATATATATATAATGTGTATATATATAATGTATTATATTATATATACAGTATATACATATTATAATATAAATATTACATAATGTATCCATCTATGGATGGTTTATGCCAAGAAGTTGGTATTTTGGCCCAAGGGATGATCGACGGCGCTGGCACCTCGCGCTCTTGGCGCTGTTTCTTGGTCTCGAAAGGGTTCGCCTGCGGCCAGGCCATGTCTTTGGTGTTTTTTGGGAACAAAGAACCTATGGGAATTCCATATGGGGATATTCCCTAAAAAATAGGCCTAAAACATAGGCCTTATATATGGTAGGTACCTCCAATTTAGGTACCTGAAATGGCCATTGAAAGAAACTATGGTCCGCTGATAGTTGTGAAACACCTGGCCATGCTTCGAAACCTGAATGTGCACTGTAGTTCACTGAAAAAAATCAGACGATTTTGAACTGGAAGTGCATGCTCTGCACAAAAATGTTGCGTGCGCAAGTTCCTCCTTGTCCACCTTTTACACCAAACTTAGGATTGAAATCTTTAGTGTCCATACACTGGAGGCATTCACTTCACTGAATATTTGAAACAGATGTCATCAGATTTCCATGTCCCAGTTCCGTGATGTTCTCACTTCACTTGCCTCGAACGAATCGAAGTTTGCCTTCCCAGCGCCAGGAACTATGAGGCCTCGGCTCTGGTATGCTACGGTTTCTTTCATATCTTTCAGACAGTCAAACTGGGTAAATAGACCCTGGCTATCCATGGCTTGTGATCCTGTGTTTTTCTCATTACTCAAATTGTTTCATGGTAAAAACTGGACACCTCACAAGATGGATCCGACTTGATCCAACAACTGGGTGTGGTCCCATATTCGATGATCGAATGATCAGAAGCAGCGAGTGTTCCAATTCGTACAACAAGTTCTTTAACATCTATTTCTGATTTGGATCCCTACATATTTGTTTGATGTTGATTACTCCGCCATCTTTGGTATTTCTACAGGCCCCAGTGCCGTAAGAACGGTCAGAAATTTTCTGTGAAAATTCGTGACCATCTCCACTGGCCATGGCATAAGCCATCCCCATGGTCGGTTTAGGGCATTGGTTTTCCCATATTACAACAGATTAGTTATAGTAGTAACATCTGGTTGCTGGTATACCTAATGGTGGTGGTTTAATGGCATTTAATGGTGGTTTAATGGGATATTATGGTGGTGTAATAGGATCTAATGGGAATCTCAATGGATAACTGGTTGGTGGTATACCTACCCCTCTGAAAAATGATGGAGTTCGTCACTTGGGATTATGAAATTCCCAATATATGGAAAAATAATCCATTCATGTTCCAAACCACCAACCAGTTATAGTAGTAACATGATTTAACATGTATTGACCTACCACCAAAAAGTCCAGAGATCTTCCGGACCCAAAATGTTCCGCTTTCTTCCTGCGGTTTCACCATCATATCCCGAGGTTCGGGTTCCAGACTGGAGAAGCCTCCGGAATGTCCCACACAGCAGACATCCTGTCCAAGTGGTGATCTTGGAGTTTTTGCCATGGAAAAAACAAGTTTACATGGGAGAAAAGAAAAGTATAATGTCAACCCTGGATTAATAAACCCCAAACGGCTGGTTAATTGGGGGGGTACCATAAAAAAGTATTGGATGATATGACTATTGGAGGAGTACCCGTCTAATTTTCATAAACCATGGTGGTCTTTTCCGCATGGCATTGAAGGACAATCTCAAAACTCGATGTCCATTGACCAGGTTGGATTGGATTTTTTAGGTCGCCACCGGTTGGCCCGGGGAAGCCACTGTCCCCCACGAATGTACGATGTCGGGAAAATGTTGGGGTGGAATTAATACCATTGGATCCGGTCTTGGTTTTGGTATGTTTTGGTCTACTAGTTCACCAACCAGCCAAGGACAGCCAAAAAATGTGCGATCCAAGTGTTCCAGATCACACCTTGGCAAAAACCAGCCGAGAATTGAAGATATCACCGGCACAAGGACTTCCAGAGGCACATTTGGCCTTTCTAGCGGCGTTAAACGAGTGGTTTTTCAATGCCTGGAGCCCAATCATCTGCTAGTTCAGAACGGTATGCTCAGTTAAATCATCATGGCTTAGGCTGTTCCAACTTCCAGTGCTACTCATGGCAAAATATGGCTTTTACTGCTGGAAGTACAGTAAACTCGTGAACTCAGTGGATGCATAACCCTAAATAACCATAGTTCTATGGCTAATATATGGCTTAACTATGGTTGTATAAATATAATAGTGGTTGATTAACAATGGTTAATGAATCATTAACCATCATTATATAACCATCATTAACCATCATTAACCATGCTTATTGTAGGGGTCATATCCCACCCAACTTATGGTCCTTTCATTTCTCCAGGCTCGGAAAAAACATCCATCAGGATCTCAGGGTCGAGTTTTGCCACACAGTGGAGGACCACGGATCTTGGGTGCTTTTTCTAACATTATAATCACTATATATAGATAGGTTTTTCATGGTTTTTCCAACATTATAATTAATATATTATGATATAACCATAATTAGTTCAGCCATTGTCCATGCAAATCCATGGGATCAACAAAAACACCGAGGCCGCCCCTCGGCCTCGAAAGGCCGGAACCTCAAAGATTCGATCTGAAGACCTCTGTACCTGGCGAAAGACGTGCCGACGGAGTGCTGCCATGAGTCTCAACGTTCAGGCCGTGGAAAGGCCGTTCGAAAATGCCAAGATATAGCATGATATAGCCACACAGGATGAAGTTTGGGCAGAATGTAGCTAGACACTGAAAAAAGACGTAAAGATAAGGTCTGGCACTCAAAACAAATTGATGTGTTGGCATGTTTTTACCCACTTTTTCGGATGCATTTTGAGGGTCAAAGTATGTCAAAGTGCAAAATATATGGGCCAAGAATGTAGAACGATGAAAGACGATCCTTGGCCCATGGTTTCACCCGCAAAATTCACGCGTGAGATCAGGAAAGACCAAGTCAGGATTGGAAACAAATGTCATTTACAGCGTTTCCCAATGAAAAATCATGAAAAAGTGCAAACAAAAACAGCTCATGGCACCAAGAACAGCTTGGCCGGCTTGGCATATGCACCTCTTGCTACTTGGTTTTCAGCTGTCGATGGAACCTTTTTCAACACGTTTCAACATGTTTCAACGCCCTTGGGGCACTGCTCCTTGATGTATGGCCTCAAAAAAAAAAGAGACGCATCGCAGCGGAACTTCGGTTCCCAAGAGCTAAAATCATGCCATAGATGGATTGGCAAATGGCCATAGAATAGTTGGTTTTCCCAGCTACAAATGGTGATTTTCCATAGTTTTTGTGTGTTTACCCTCTGGTAAACTAACATAGCTATTGAAAATAGTATAGCCCAGTCGAAATAGTTGATTTACCCAGCTACAAATGGTGGATCTTTCCAGTTCGTTATGTAAGTTCGTTCAGAAAAATCCCATGGGCTTCGAATCTCAAACATGGCGGTGGCATGAAGTCAGCTCCAAAATCGCGCAGGCTGATCATGATGATGAAAAATGTGTTCACACTATCCCTACCGTTTTTAGCGGGACCTCCCCAAAATATCAGGAATTTGGAATTTCGAGGGGTCCAAAAAATGATAAAAAATGTTTGATTACATTTAGGAAGGCTTTGCCTTCCCACATGTAAGTTACATTTTTGAAGGTGCCATTTCTCTGGACATCTTTCCCCCCCAAAAAAAAACTGGGCTAAGGGGGTGGGGATTTCCTGGACTCCACTGGTCTGCTAAATTCGCCCCCTGTTTCTCGGCTCCGCATCCCTATACTGCAGTGGGTGCTAAAATATGTGAAAAAAATAGAATAAAAGAAGGATATGATATACAAATCGGTGGAAATGGTTAACCTTATCACATCCAGTTGGGGCAGAGAAACAGATGTGAAACCATCATCAATCTATGTTTGATTGAGTCTATCTGCATTATCATGGCTCAAATCCAATGCTCACTCTCAAAGTGTGGCCTTGACTAGTCATCTTTCCAGTTAAAACTGGTTGTCATCGAAGCCCGCCATATCCCAGCGTTTTTCCAACCAGGTTTGCGAACTTGCTGGGTCTGGCGGTGCTGAAAACGTCTTTGAAGACCTGGTGTTTAGAACAGCCCGAAATTGGAAGAGAATGGTGTTTAGAACAACTAATATAATGTGGTTAAAACAATAGTAAACGATTCCCCAGTCATCACCGTTTTTATAGGTGGTATGGTTATCATTCCCAGTCATGGGTGGTAAAAATGGCATTGTTTTACCAACATTACAACTCATATAATCCACATGATGGAAATCCAAGGATTTTCCGTATACTTTGCCTTTGGAATCACGATGGCAGAACCTGAATCACCATGGCAGATGTAGCGCACAGAAGTTGGGGGCCCAATGAAAAATTACGAGTTATCACTCTGGTAAAACCAATCCCATCAACCCAAATGGCCCATAAATGGCACACAGCCACCAGAACTGCAGGCGCCAGTGGATTTGGCTTTACCATATTGCGCCAGCTACCAGCGCAGGACTCCATGTGGGGATCAAAACCTATGCCGGAGGAACATCTGCAACTGCCAGCTATTTTTGGTGCACAAAGTAATATATAATCTGGTTGGTGGTATACCTATGCCTCTGAAAAATATGAGTTCGTCAGTTGGGATGATGAAATTCCCAATATATGGAAAAATAAACCATTCATGTTCCAAACCACCAACCAGTAATATGTCATGGTGCAATTTTCTTTCAAAAAATCAGGGAAGTTACACCTCCAAACCGGAAAAAACGATGCTGGTGCCAAAAAAGAGAGACGTAACTTCACCACTCGATCGCCTTCTGACGTTGCAGGTTGGGCAACTCGATCGTTGAATCACAGCAACTGATGTTTTTTATGTGTAAACTGGTACCCTCTGGTAAACGTTTACATAACTATGGAAAGATCCACCATTTGTAGCTGGGTAAATCAACTATTTCGACTGGGCTATTTTCAATAGCTATGTTAGTTTACCAGAGGGTAAACCCCAATTCTCTTAGCCAGCCCCCAGATTTTTCAGGCACCGCACGTCCAGAAAGCCACCGCAACTCATGGCCACCATGCCAGTCATGGACCTGAGTGGGTCCTGTAAAAATTGTCCCATCCAATTCTGGGAAGAGCTTCTTGGAAGTTGACCTATCTGAATCTGATCTAATTATCATCTAGCTATCTATTTGCCTTTTTTTTATCTAGAATCTAATTTTGATGCACTGTGATGTGCTTATATCATCTTGTCTCTCCACTTCGGTCCATCTGAAAGCAAAGAAGATTGAGACAGGATGCCTTACTTGTAGTTCAGAGTTCGCCTTTTTACATCACCATGGAAAATCACGGTAAATTTCTATGATCAATTTCTGGGCCATGGCGGCTCCTTAGCGTAACCTAAATTACCAAATGCTTCGGGATCGCCAGGCCAGCCCTACACATCGATGCTGTTCACCGCATGGCCATATTTCCTGCAGGCTCCAGTCCGAAAGTTGCCGGAAAAGGTGAGATAATTTTCAGCTAAAAATTGGTGATTTGTAGATGAGGAGGGGGTGAACAAGCTTGAAATTTAAAGATCTCCAAAGGCACTGAATTTCACTGAATGGAACACTCGAGTCATAGAAAAGCTGTGGAAAAGCTGCAGTTCTACCATGGCCTCGCAGGGATGCTCGGGCTAAAAACGCCAAAAAAAAACCATGGTTGATCATCAGATAGCCATGAACCCCATAAAATCATATAAAATCTGCTATCTGATGGGTAGATATCCCTTTTCTTCAGGCACGGCTATTCGCTTCGCCTGCCATAGCAGTGGAGCATGTTGTAGGTCCGGAGGTCCCAAACCTCGGTGCCGACGGGGAGGACTTCACCTCTGCCGATGCCCGGCAGCCCAGGCCTTCCATTTGGCTTCAGCTCCCGCCGTGACCTCAGCTGGGGTCAGGAGTCTTAAGGTCTTCCTGATCATCTAAAATCAAGATAAACCAAGGAAAAACCAAGGAAAGGCTAAAATAAGATCCTACTACTAGAGTTTGAAAGTGCCTAAAGTTCCTCTTCTGAATCTCTTTGAAAACACAGGCATTTCACATCGCTGCAGCAGTTCCCTGAGTCGCGCCGCCATGTAGTTCCCATGCACTGCCAAAGCTGTCACCTGACAGGCGCCGGTCGTGTCAACTCATAAAATTTGGTGGCTGATACTGAAAGGAATATCCATTAAAAAAAACAGAATGTTGATGGTGAAAATATGGGAAAATGATGATTAATCATCAGTGGATGGAACGAAGTACCCTATTTTCAGACAAAACAAACCCATTTAAGTGAGAACTGACCCCCCAAGAAGACATATCAATTTGTCCTACAAAAAAATATGATGGTGCTTGATTTCAGGATGAACACAGAAAAATTCTGCCCTTGTCTGAGTTCAATCGCTTGTTGACCCCGCTCAAAAAAGACGCGGTTGAACAACTCTCACAGCACAAGGCCCAACGGGGCCCACCCCTTCTTAACCATTGACTTCCTCATTAAAAAGGGCCCATAACTCCCATAATTTGTAACTGCTTTTGGCTCCAATTTAGGTACGTCACATGGCTAAACACTACCATCCTGGGGGTTCCCAAGCAACCAACTCGCCGCCAACGCGCCCCAGCGACGCGCGCACCTTGGAGTTGTGACACGAAATCTTCACCACCGGCTCTTTCACACTCCTCAGCACCGGGACATCCATGAATCTGTGGCCAGTGGGTATGCCGCATGCCCCAAAAATGCCATGAAAATTCTGGAAAATAATGCTTAAGCCATTGGATATGGGGTGTAATTCAGCCCGTTTTTCTGGAAACAATAGACAAAATGAAGAAAGTTGTGGAAGTATGTTCCTCTACATGTCATGTGTATTTCTATGGTATATCATTTCAACTGCTGTAGTGTCCAAACCCTGGTCGAACATCTCCCGGCCGGGATACGAAAAAACCTCCGGCTGGGGATCTATGGTGATAGGACATTGTGACATGATAATCATGATATTAAAATCATGAAAAACTCAGGAGGATTTTTGGCCATCCTGCCATGTGCCAGGCGATTTTTGTCCTTACGTTCCAGTGGATTTTCTGGGTGCCCCACGGGGTCCAAAGGGTGACCAAGCCCTGGCGAGCTCAGCTGAAGCAGCTGATCATAATGGGCCCTGATGAGATCCCATGGATCAATGGCCATGACTCAGGAACCGATTGATTGGAGGTACCGATTCCATATATAAGGCCTATTTTTTAGGCCTATGTAAAGGGATATACCCCCAAAATATGGCCTTATATGGTACATTACCTCTATTTTAGGATCCTGGAATTCCCATTGACTGGATCCTCCATAAGATATTTTTGACATGGCAAACTGCTTGGTGGTTGAGCCCTACCCTCTGAAAAATGATGGAGTTCGTCAGTTGGGATGATGAATTATTCCCAATATATGGGAAAATCCATTAAAATCCATTAAAATCCATTAAACCACTATAATCCATTAAAATCCATTCCAAATGTTCCAAACCACCAATCAGTTTTTGACATGTCAAATCAAATCTACCAGGTCGGATGAGACTTTTTGAAAAGATCTTCCCGGTTTTTCAAAGGATGCAATAGGAGGCCAGCTGTCAACTGCTCCGGCCTGGTTGTGACCCAGGTGCATCACTGCATTCTTGGGGTTTTGCCGCATGCACCTGGGAGCAGGTTCCTTTCAACTTATGGCTGCTACGTCTTGCCATCTCTGGACCTGGTGAAATGCCTGGCACTTCAGCTGCGAAAAAACGGTCGTCACCAGCCAAAATACCTTCCCAACATAGGTCAACTACAGCGGTGCTGCAAAAATCCCCATCTTTACCGAAAAATCTCCGGCTTTCCAGGCTTCGATCTTGGCTGTGCGTTGCTTAAATCGGCATTTCTGATGGTTAGATGATATAGCTTGGATTCCTATTTTTGATGGTGAAATCCCTTCCTTTCCTCATTCATAACATCCCCAGATCTCAACGTCAAGGTGCGTGGTGGCACCCAAATGCGTACGATGCTCGGCCACCTGAGACTTATACTCTGGTGGTTCAACCAACAAAAATGGGGCTTAACCACCAACAAATGGGGCAAAGTTGGGACTACCCAAGTTTATATACGAATTACCCTCTGGTAAATAAACATAGACCCTGAAAATCACCAATTTTTAATGGAAACTAGTCTTCCAACCCCTATCTGCCAGGGTCTATGTTAATTTACCAGAGGGTATCCTGCAGTTGATGAATGTAGATATGGCCAGACTTGGAGATCTCCAGCATTTGTAGATCATGTTCTTTTTGGGGAAAACATAGGTTCTACACATCGATGATAGTTTGCTGAGGGATATACCCGGCCTGGTTATGACTAACAGTTTGCCATGGGAAATAGCCATGGCCCTAATCGAAATAGATGGTTTACCGAACTTAAAAATGGTGGATCTTTCCATGGCTATGTTAAATAACCAGATGGTATATCATGGAGGTAGAACCAACCACTGGAACTCACCATAATTAGCACAACCTTGCAGTAACATTGTTCAATCGACAAGGCCAACCACAACGAGGATACGAACCCACAATGAAATAGACGATCCTGAGATAATTCCTGCAAAAACCATTATATTTGCCGGCCAGCGTATCAATGTTTCTAGGCATTTCTAGAATGTGTTTTTCCTTTTTTTTTACTACCAAAGTTCGTCCATGAAGACCTGCTATTCACCAACAGATATGAATGTAGCTTTGAATATGTTGCAATCGGGTACCACAGATTCGCTACAAGTCGTGATGCAAAAAAAATAGTAACACGCCAACCCATACGGGTGAGACGAATGAAAACTGCGACCCCAATACCTGTGTGCCGTGGGTGATATCTCGCCAGCAGATCTCACCGCGTTCGCCTGGAAATGCTTCAAGCCATTGGGTGGCACCATTGGAGCGTTTGATGCTTTATCTACAGTAAGCAAGCCACGAGCTAACGAAAAACATACGACAAATAACTCTTTGGAATTTGGGATCCCAGAAACAACATCATATCACTCGCTTACATTAAGGTTCTCAGCCATCAACTGATAACGATATGCACCTTAAGAAAAAAACCATTGCCTCCAATCAGTCACATGGTTTTTCCCATCAGACACTGCCCATTTCACTCGTGGCTTCCCCAGAAAGATCGGGCCTGAGGAGACCAGCAGAAAATGGTACGGCAGGAAGTCCAACAAGGCGGGAAACCTGCCAGCAATGAAAAGCGTCAACGCTCAGCATCAAAAATGGTGGATTTTACCATGAAAAATGTGGATTGAACCATCAATCCAGTGGTGTTTTACATGTGTTTACCATCAAAAAATGGGGATTGAACTTCGTATGTCTGAAACTGGAATAAAAAAGTTTTTTTTTCAATGGATTATATATGATTAGAACATCATGTTCACCACATACATGGCACCTACAGATACATATGCTGGCCATGCCAAGAAAATGGCACCGCAAGTTCCCAAGCCCTCAACACCTTTGCTGCTTGATGCAGTGTAGCCTGGTTCGCAAAGAGCTTGAGGTGTGTAACCCGTAACCCCTGAGAAGATTCAGAAAAGGAACAAGTGACCTTTCCATGTTCATTGAATTTTTCCTAACGTTGTTTGGGGATTAAATATTGATCTATATTGTTTGATGTGGATTTTCCATGACATCTCCCTGAGATCTATACTGAAATCTGCATTATCATGTATGTGTGTATACACATCAGTAATGGTGGTCGGTCAACCAGCAAACATTCTCCCGACACCTGTTGCATCTGTATAGTACACGCTTCATTGTGTTGGTATGCCTACGTGTCTTTGCCATTCACAGCCACCACTTGTTGTCGGAGTGGATGGGATAGATTCACCATCGTCACCATCATCATCACCACCATAGCAATAGCAACGCTAACACTAATAATAATCGTAGTAGTCGTAGTAGTCGTAGTAGTCGTAGTAGTCGTAGTAGTCGTAGTAGTCGTAGTAGTCGTAGTAGTCGTAGTAGTCGTAGTAGTCGTAGTAGTCGTAGTAGTAGCAGTAGAAGTAGTAGTAGTAGTAGTAGTCGTAGTAGTAGTAGTAGTAGTAGTTCGCAATAGTAGTACTAGTAAGAGTAATAATAGTAATAATAGTAATAGTAATAGTAAGAATAATAGTAATAATAGTGATACAATAGCAATAATAGTGATACAATAGTAATAATAGTAATAATACTAGGATGCCCCCCGGGACTTATGGACTTATAAGTCAGTTAGAGTGGACTTAAGTATAAGTGTTTTTGATGGACTTATAACTTACTTATAAGTCCAGTCATAAGTAGCTAAGTTTTTCTAAGTGTTTTCAGGTGTATTTTGCTTTATTTAGGTTTAGGCCTTGTTTTGTTTGATTTTATACCGTTTTCACACAGGTACCAGAGCTCTTTTTTCACCACAAGAGGCTGATGGATCCATCATCGTTGCTTCGAAAGTATTGTGGTGAAACACTTTGGTCCAGACGCTTTGCATCCGTTATCTCATGAGCGCCAGGGACGTAGTTCCAAGTTGCAAGAACTGCATAACCTTTGTTGTTTTTTGCTTTTTTCATCCGTTGCAGATACACTTCCACCGTTTCCCCTCGGCAGCGAAAGAATTGAATGCATGCAGTGGTGCCATCTGAGAGCCGGACAAATTGGTTTCGGCTATACGTGACACACTTGTACTCCAACTCAGTCGCTTCTGAGGCAAGGTCGGACTGTGCTGGGCCAGAGACATTCATACGTCCTCTTAGGACTCGAAGCCCAAATTTTTCCACGGGCAAGGCCTTGTTTAAGTCTTGCGTGACAAGTTCAAGTAAGACTCCTTTGGAGAACGCAGGAGAATTGCTCCAGTTGGATGCTGCGCGTGCCTTGTATGCTTTGTTCTTCCTTTCGCATGGAAAGCAATCGATATGGAGACCAAACTTCTGAATTTGTGCCGTTGTATGCAAGGCATAGTGAAATTTGGGTCGCATGCCGCATGCATTGGCTTGAGTAAGCTTCAGTGAAGCATCTCATGTGCGCCTGCTGCTTGGTCAATAGTGTTGTGGCTGCTGGTGGATATCTTTTGGCTTCAGCCAATACAGAAACGACCTCGTAGAGAGATTTGAGGGAAGCAACGGCTGCTTGCACTGCCGCAATCTCTGTGAGAATTTCTTCCGAAAACCCAACACAAAGAATGAGCGCCAATGCAGATGCTGCGCATTCCCCTCGGAAATCACCACCGTCTCGCCACAGTTTTTCTTCAAAGAAGTGTTGCGGCCCCACTTGTTTTGCCGCAGGTGAATTTGGGCAACGTTGCCACATCGCCGCATACAGTGCGAGCTGTGCGAGAGTGACCTGGGCATGGTGCTGCACCAGCTCCCACCAATGGCCCAATTCACATCCGATAATGCCGTTACTATAGTAAGCGTGCATGGTGTCAAAGTGAACTGTGTCAACGGAAACCCACTTCTCCAAAGCAGGCTCCGTTAATGGACCAGCCAGCAACATCGCAGCATTCCAGCCCAAAAGTTTTTCGAGTTCTTGTTTCTTACCTTTTTTTTCTTCTGTTCTCAAGCGGTCCGCTGCTGCTCGGACAGAGCCATCAGTGGCCGGCCAAAAGTTGGCTAGATCAGCGTGGCTGATATCAAAGTGGTCTTTGACTTCTGCGGCCTTATTTAGGGACAAGAGATTGAGGCATTTGATGCAGCATTTCAATCCGCTGGCACCCTTCGTGCCAGTGCAAGCTCGAATCGCCTCGTGATCCATCAACAGAATGACTGAATCTATGAAGCAAAGCACTGGCTCCCCCATGGATCCCAAATCGACCACGAAGCCATTAGCTGTTTCAGATCGTATCTGCAACAGCATGGCTTTGGTCAACGCAGCCATCCCCCCGTCCATGGCGGCAATTTCTTTGGAGCGAGTCACTCCCAGGGTGAGCCATAGATCTTCCAGAAAAATGACGTCAAATTCCAGCCATGTGAAATAAGTGAGATTACTTTTTCTGGCGTGATTTGGACTCAAGATGTTACCTCCCGATACCTCATCTTGATAAAAGATGAGATTGAGATGGTTCTGTTTTTTTTTAAAGCCCTTTGCATCATAAGACGATACAAGGGACATGCGTCAATCTTGGCTTGCACCAATGCAGGCAAACTCATGCTCCAGGCCTTAAGAGGTCTACCCGTTTCCACTTCCTGCAGGGATAGTTCACGAAGGCACGGGAACGCTTTGGGATGATTGACACTTGGGCGCTTAGCCGTGCCACCACCTCTGTCATCATCCCGAACCAATCGCACAACTTGTCTGCATTCAGCGGCAGTCAAGGAACCGATCTGTCTTACAGACCGATACTGATTCGACAATTAAAAAGAGAAGGCATTCCCATTGCCTCCTTCGGATGCTTCCAGAACTCAAAGCACCTTATACCATATGCAAGGAGGATTTCTTTTCATGACGTTACCTTGTACTTGGTCCAATGCATTCCAAGATATATCCATCTATATATATATGGCATGGACTCGATATTTGCAGATTGAATCCTTTTTCATACATGGCATATTGGTTCGTACTTGAGCGTTAATTGCCACGCGCGTGTGCTTCCAGTGTTTTCACTCGAGCCACCCAGCTGCAATAACGAGGCGATGCATGCATCTGTGTAGCATATGTATGGGGATAGCAGGGGGAATATAGGATTTCCATATGGATGTAAATACATATATATATATATATTTGATTTTGTAGCGCTATATGAAGAGCTATATGGAGGAATCATGTTGTCAATATATATATATATATTTATCGATATATATATATACTGTATATATAGATCTATAGTCTCAGACATATTATAGATAGATATATATATAAATATGTATATATATATATATATATATTCATATAGATTGGATATTCTTACCTATATATGCGTAATATAAGGGAATCCAAGTCTGATGTGTTCAACTTAGACATGCTGCAGAAACGTCAATGAGATCTCAAGGTCATTGCCGCGCAAAGCTTTGTGTTGCATTTATAACACTTTGTCTTGGCAGCATGCGATAATGCATTTCGCTTCTTTTCTGCTTCTCCCCTGCAGTTGATCAGCACAGTTTGCCTCACTTTCTATTTGGGACTTGGAACGGACCTTCGCTTTGAAAAGCTCAACACAGAGCAAAACGAGAGGTCAACAGTGAATTTCTAAAGCAAATTAAATTGGCTCGCATGCGCTCGCTCACTTGTTTCCTCCCTTGCTGCGCACACGGCGAGCAGGTGGATTTGCTTCGACCCCCTCCGCAGCTGCCGTGTCCGTGGCCTCTGCTCCTGCCTCTGCCGCCTTGCGCTTACCGGCCGCCTTGGCTTTAGGCACCGGCAAGTGTTGACGCAAATTGGCTTGCACCTCCACCACAGTCTTGTGGAGACACTTCACATCAGCCATGTCAAACGGCGGAGCGGTCAAAGCCACTTTACCGGTCTGGGCTGCTTCCTCTTCCCAGTCTTTGAGAAGGCCCTTGGCAGCTTGGCTCCAACGCTGCAACTTTCCCACATTGTCCTCGTAGACCGCTTGGATCGGTTCTGGTAAATCAGCAGGAACACGAGCACGTAGCTTGGTCAGGCTCTGGAGATCCTGAGCCAGAGGTGCGACAGCTTTCGCAGCCAGCAGCTGCATCTTCTGATTCGAAGCTTGATTTTTCTTTTCTTGCGCAGCTTCAGCTCTGGCAGCCTTTTTCTCTGCGGCCGCCGAAGCATCTCCTTTCTTGGCAGCCTCGGGAGCCGGCAGATCCAAAGCCGCTTCCGGCTCAGCTTCCTTCGGCCCACGGGGTCGTGCCATGCGCTTGGCAGTGGCCTCCTTCTCCTGACGGAGAATTCTCTCTTCCACAGCTTGGTACGTCTGCTTCCAAGTCATGCTCTTCACGGGGACCTGATATGTGTCACATCCGTACTGTTCATTCCACTCCTTGGGACAATTCCGCACGGTCTGTTCCGGCCAACCTTGCTTCAGCCAAACATCCAGCGGAAGGAATTGGGTATCCACAGCCGTTGCATTTTCCGTCATTTGTCGAGTTGTCAAGGAGGTCACGAGACACGCTCGCACAGTTTTCCAGTCGATTCTGGAGTCCTTCGCGTTGGCCTTTTCCACAGCCAACTTCTGGAAAAAGCTGTGTTGTTCCTCCACACTGAGGTTTTGCAGCTCGTCCTTTGAGCCAAGGCCCCGACGTAGAAGTCGGTCTGCGCTGGCGCACGGAGTGCACGTAAACTTTCGACCGTGCACTCTGCCACTTTCGACCTCGTGGGTCAAGTTGCACAGAATGCAGCGGTGCTTGCACGCTTCCTCCGCAGGAGCAGCCGCCATGAGACAAAGGGGACTGATCTGACACAACGGGAGATAAAGAAGAGGCCTTGGCAACTATGGAGCCACTTTGAGTCTTGAACCAAAAAGGTACGGAAACTTGGAGGTTTTATCACAGACCCGCGGACAACGGATTTCAGTCGTTCTTCCGCGGACAAGAGGAAAGATATCGGAATCAAGGGTTTTTTTTTAGTCTTATATATTAGTTAAGCTTGCGGACAACGCGGACAAAGCATCTACCTGACAGAGCCGCGGACAACCGCGGACGTTCGCGGACAGTTCGCGGACAGGGACCGTTTCTCACCACACGCATCGAACTTCTGGTCTTCCCTACCGCAAGGCCCAGCAATCTACCAACAGCAGCGACACCTGCTTCTCAGCCTCGTGGGCCCAGCTTGACGCAGGCAGCAGCGTGAGATTCTCCTGCAAACGCTTTAAATCACCGGCAACATCGGAGAATTGCTCCATATGGAAATATCCCAAACTATGCTTGTACCTGGACCACTGATCCGTCCAGTCATACATGCTGCATAAGATGGTCTTTTCAGGAGTCGGCTCCTCAGACACAAGTTGCCAGTTCGGTTGCAAGCACGTCTGAATAAGCTTATTGAGACGAAGCACTTGCTTGGCAGCCGCCACATCCCCAGCCTCATAGGCACGAGCTTCTGCTTGATCCAAGCACTCAGACACCGTGACCCAGCATGTTTCCCACGAGGTCCACAAAGACAGCTGGCTAGAGGCAGCAGCTTCCAGCGCAGCACGGAAAGTTGCCAAGTCATCTTTGGATATATTGAAGTGACATGGCTGTGGCATTTTCCAACTGCTATCTGTCTATCCGGAAACCCATTCGAGCCACAGCTACCCAAGTTTCAGAGATTCTTCATACATATATGTGTTTCGAAGAATATATCCTGACCACCAAAAAAAACTCTCATTCTGTTATCTAGTGGAAACCTTTGAAGCCAAGTATACTTATAAACCCCGTTATTTGAAATCCCCAGGCATCCCCTGACACGAACGCGGTGCACTCTTTTTTCCAGACACAGTGCAACGCCATATCAGCGTAAGAAAAGGAGTTCACGGCCTGCCGGTGTCTCAGGCAATGTTGATGATCACCTGCCTCCCCCCGGCGCTGCTGCTCTTGGCTCCCTTCGGCTTTGCGCGCTTAGCGGCCGATGGCTGCGGCGAGGGGTCTGGCCCATCCTCCTCGGAGCCGCTTGGGCTTGGCACCGGGACAGGCTTCGGAAGCGGCTCCCGGGGCTGCACCGTGCGAGACTTGCGTGACACAGAGCGGGAGCTCGGAGCCCCCGACTCTGCGTCCCTCAGATCTTCCTGCTCACGCTGAGCTCGGAGCTCCGTGGCCTTTGCCAGAGTCTTCCCCCATTCCTCCTGCGTTTGGCGTTTTACCGGAAGCTGATTCCAGAATTGACACCGCAGGCACTACAGATTCATATACATGTGCTGCTTCTGTCCACTCAGTTGCGTTGTGAGGGATTTCTTACAGTGCGGGCATTTAACCCGATCTGCTTTCTTTTGGTCCCAGTCGCCCTCATGCTTCTTCGTGGCAGCTCGCTGTTTCGGAAGTAACTCCACCTTCTTCGGAGGCTTTCCCGTCGGTTCGTTCGGACGATCACTGCGGGAAACGGGCACCCGGGAGCGGCCACGAGACTTGTCACGGGCCTTGCGGTCCTCCTTCTTACTCACCCGCTCACGAGAGCGTGTGCAACCTTTCCGGGAGCGACGGGAACGGTCCCGCTCCTTTGAGCGCCTCTCTTTCGACGCATGCCTGCCACGATCCCGGCTCTTAGCACGGGTCTCGCGGCGCTCCTTCTTGTCAAAGGGAGACTCTTTTGCGTCTTTGCGGTCCTTCGTCTCTGTCTCCCTCGGTTCCGGCTGGGGGCCCTTAGCCTCCTCCTCGTCCGAGACGTCTTCCTCCGAGGACTCTTCGTCCTCATCGTCCGGAGCCATCGAGGCCTGCGGCAGCATGACATGCGACCAAACATTGCCAAAAAAAATGAATGGGTTATATATACGTATCGATCTATACATACCCATATATAAAAGCATCCAATATGTAACATTCGTATCTATGTATAAGTCTATCATAGACACAGATATAGAACTCATCTCAGAACACATGAGTGAGACCGCAAAAAAAACAGAGAGACATTATATATTGCCTCTTGCAGACACCGCGGAAGTGCTGCAAGTGCGCCATGACCACGTAGGCCATGTCGTAGATCAGATTCTCGTAGAATCTGTCCGGTCATCCGGGAATTTCCTCGTAGGACATTCCGCTGTGGGAATATACCTCGTAGGTATATCCATCACGTTCCAGTTTTCCTCGTGGGAAAACCGTCTTCCTCGTAGGAAGACACACGAGACACCTCGTAGGTGTCTCCAAAGTCCTCGTAGGACTTCTAGACAGAAGACTCGGACACCTCGTAGGTATCTTGGAGGTCCTCGTAGGACTTCCATGTGGAAGAGCGGCCCAGACACCTCGTAGGTGTCTCGAAAGTCCTCGTAGGACTTGTCACGCAAGGCGAAAGCACCACAGACAAAGGCAAGACAGCAGAATCGGATATATATATAAACAATATATATATATAGATATATGAATATATATATATTTATGCATCTATATATCAAAAATGGATTTCTTATATATATATACCAAGAGATTCACATATATATATATATATATCAGACCCCCCATCCTCGGCTCCTTCCGGCCTCGCGCCGGACAGTCACCATGAGAGGTTCGCCCCGGGTTTGAGCCGTCACGCCTGCACCAAAAAAAGCTGTGGAAAAGAAGCACAGACAGAGCAACTCAACATATGATTTAAATGCAAGCACGTTTGCTCCATGTTTTCCTCTCCGGGACTGTCTGCCTGTTGTCTTTTCTATGCATCCCTCTCAGTAAAAGAAGAAACCACGCAAGCGCCAACAACTGAGACAGCATTCCTTGCGCCAGCGGCAACGGGCACAGCCATTCTGAAACTTACGACGGAGCTTGGGAGGCAATGTTGCCAACAGCCGCTGACGCTGTTGCGATTTGCTTTCCCCTGTCTTCTTCTTGGGTGACTTCTTCATAGCCATCGCAGCAGCGGGTCGCTTAGCAACCGCTTTCGAGGGCATGGCCTGGGCTGCCTTGGCAGCTGGTTTCTTCAAAACTTTCCCTGCGGTTTTCTGCTCAGATTCAATCTTCTCTTTCTTCGACTGCTCTGACTTGGACGCTGGTCGTTTCAAAACCCTATGGTTCTTTCCATTCTCGCCGTTCTGAGAGTGAACTGCTCCTTTCAAGGCCGCCAACGTCTTAGCAACACCATTCGCACCTGCATCGGGCACAGCCGTGGCTGCAACAACCTGCGGTTCTGCCACCGATGCACCAGTGTCTTCAACGCGGCCATCCTCCAAAGCCAGCAGAGGTTGCGGCTTCTCCCTCGCAGTACAAGATGCCGCTGGCGTCACGGACTGCCTCGCAGGCGGTTGACCAGCAGACATCATTCCAGCGGCCATCTGACCCACCAGAAAAAAATCCATTGACTGGGAACCAACGGCCTTCGGCTGCGCGGCCTGGGCAGCAATCCGATGCGAGGCACGCAGTGGCCAGGCGCGACCACGCATCACCAGCTCAGAGGGAAACTGCACGCCATGCGGTTGCTGCCCCTCCAATGCTGCATCCCAAAGGACGCGTGGACACTGCGCCACATCCGACGGCAACACATTCAAATAAACTGGCGGTTCTGACTTGGTCAAAAGCCTTTGAATGGTCGCCTTATGCAACATGGTGTATTGCCACTTGTCCGCTTCAAAGGCCACTCCATGATAATCAAACGCTAGAGCAAGGATGAGACCACAGGTCTTCTCCGTCGGATGACGAAGGCCTAGCTTCACCAAAAATTGGCACAGCAATTCCAACACTTGGGCACGGTTACGATCCGATTCCAGGCGCGCAACCAAAGCCGAAGGTAAATAAGATACAACCGCCATGTAATCCTGATTGACTCTCCGTTCCTTGTCTTCACTTCCCGTGCGGGCCACAATGTCTTGCTTCACCTGATCTGCATAGTCACCCCACAGTGCATGATCAAGAAGCAACAGCAGGCGACCCGACACTTCCGTGGTCAAGCTCTCCACTTTGGCAAGGCAGCGGCACAACTCACCATGTTGCTTAATCTGAATTTCTCTAAAGTTGGGAAGGGTTTTCACCCCATCCAAGAAAGTTTGCGAGGCCTTCAGATGTCGCTCCAACTGCATAGCCATGATGGGCCCGGAACCTTCACAAACAAAACTCGAGCCTTCTCCCTTAAAACGGCCACAGACGCAAATAAAGTCTTGCTGCCACAACCTTGTTTTCTTAAAATCCACAAGAAAAATTGCTCAAACTAGTTAGCCATACAAAAAACATGAAAATTCATCATGACAGCTAACTAAGCTAAGTCCAACCTAAGTAAATCCTAAGTTCATGACTCCTAACATGCAACATACTTAGTAACTAGCTAAGTTCAACCTAAGTCCCTTAAAAAAAACAATCAACTTAGAACCTACTTAGCCAGTTAACCAACTTATAAGTCAACTTATAAGTTATGTTACGTTACTTATAACTTAGTTATAACTCCTTAAGTCCCGGGGGGCATCCTAGTAGGAATAATAGTAATAATAGCAATAATAGTAATAATAGTAATAACAGTAATAATAGCAGTAATATAATAGTAATGATATAGTAATAGTAATAATAGTAGTACTAGTAATAATAGTAGTAATAGTAATAATACCAATATCATGACAATATATATATATGTATTGTACAGTAGTACTACCAATAACAATCATTGCCATCAAAGCGAATTACCCAACCAATTCTCGAGGTGGTCCTCCTAGTCAAGCGGGGTTAAAAAAATTACTTTACTTCGTGTGATCCCCACCATGACATTTATACATGTTCTTACTGACACATCTTCTGGCATTCTATCTGACATATCTTCTGACATTCTATTTGGCATTCTATCTGGCATATATTCTGACATATCTTCTGGCATTCTATCTGACATATCTTCTGACATTCTATTTGGCATTCTATCTGGCATATCTTCTGGCATATCTTCTGGCATTCTATCTGACATATCTTCTGACATTCTATTTGGCATTCTATCTGGCATATCTTCTGGCATATCTTCTGGCATTCTATCTGGCAAATCTTCTGGCATTCTATCTGGCATATCTTCTGGCATTCTATCTGACATATCTACATTCTATTTGGCATTCTATCTGGCATATCTTCTGGCATATCTTCTGGCATTCTATCTGGCAAATCTTTTGGCATTCTATCTGGCATATCTTCTGGCATTCTATCTGACATATCTTCTGGCATTCTATCTGGCATTCTATCTGGCATATCTTCTGGCATATATTCTGGACATATCTTCTGGCATTCTATCTGGCATTCTATCTGGCATATCTTCTGGCATATCTTCTGGCATATCTTCTGGCATATCTTTCTGGCATTCTATCTGGCAAATTTCTTCTGGCACTTCTATCTGACATTTATCTTCCTACATTGAGGTCCGGCAGGGAACAACTTGCGGGGATACTCGCGGTGAGGTCCGGCAGGAAAACTGGGCGTGGATGGTCGTGGTTGAGGTCGGCAGGGAAACACTGGGGTGGCTGGTCGTGGTTGAGGTCCGGCAGGGAAACACTGCGGGGTGGATGGTCGTGGTTGAGGTCCGGCAGAGAACACTGTGGATCGCGGGTCGCAGTTGGACGAGGACGACGAGGACGACGAGGACGACGAGGACGACGAGAGGACGACGAGGACGACAAGGAGGACGAGGAGGACAAGGAGGACGAGGAGGAGGAGGAGAGGAGGACGAGAGGAGGACGAGGCAGGAGGAGGAGGAGGCAACTGACATAAAATCTAACAACCCTCACCTGGCAGGTGGGGAAAAAAAAACTTTTGTGGATGAAAGCAGCATGAAGCAGCTATTTTTTGGGGGATGTCAAGAATCTTCGCCCAGTCACCCAGATGTGTTCTTTCATCAGATTTCTTTCTCGCATTCATCCATTGGATCATAATTATGCTTGAACTAGCTGAGGCTCAACCCATCATTCAGCATCATTCAGCATCATATCCTGAGGCTCAAGCTCGGTACCTTGGTTGTCGTAGATGTATGTATACTTCCTCGGGGATGCCCATGGTCCAGCTGGCTGAAAAACGCTACCCGGCTATCTCGGAGAAACGGAAAACAATTTTCTTCTGATCCCTGGCGGCTCCCAAACACCCGGAATGGACAGAAAAAACTACATGGCTTTCTCATGAAAACCATGGGTTTTCCCTAGATTTGCTCCCTTCTTTTTAGCTTTTCCACCTTTCACTGAAAACCCTCCAATTGTTTGTCATATTAAAATATGAAAGCCTTTTTCCTTGCCGTACCTTCGAAATTAGACATTCATAGTAGGCTTCACGTGGAAATTGTGAGACGATTCTTACACATCTTGTTATGGCTCACAAGAATAAGGTATCGTTTCACTGACAAACTTGGCACTCTAGATATACTAGATGTGTAATTACCATAAACGATATTTAAGCTTGTACAATCAGCCACAGTCCCACCCTTCTCGGCAACTTTTTGGAAGCAACGACTTCGAAGATGCACCGCACGCGGGGCTCACCTGCCAGCGGCCCTGAGCGGACTTTCGGATGAGCATTTTGCTGGGGCCATGGGCGAGTTCCCGCTGAGTGGAAAGGCGGAAAGGTGGCCCATTAAAAAATCGTACTTGCGCCGGGGTAATTTAACAGTTTGCTATGGAAAATCACCGTGTTTATTTTATATCTATAATATATATATATATGTAATATATATATATATATGTAATATATATATATATAATATAAATAATTATATTATAATTATATATAGTGTTATATATATAATTTGATTATCCCACATAATGCTTATAACGTGGGAAAAAAC